ATGGACGAGGCCGGTCCAAGGAGCCTGGATGTGGGTGCCAGCCCCTCCCATTCTCCCCACCACAGCTGGCCCTTTCCCTGCCCCCTTGCTCCCAGCAGGATGTAGGTTGTGGTTCTGCCGCTCCCCCTGGAGTTTCTGGGCCCGTTCCCATTGGCCACAGGGAAGTCGCAGCTTCTCCCTGCGTTTCCCGAGAACCAGTGGTGGGTACTGAGTTGCCTGGAGCCTCCTCGCAGCCTGTGTGAGTGCAGACGGCCAGGGCTGTCAGAGTGAAGACAGGAAATGGGAGATGGAGGCGGCAGGGGGAGGGTGCCAGGGGGAGGCTCCCTTTGCCAGCTCTGCTCTGCGAGGGCAGGGACAGGAGTCAGGGCCCATGGCTGCCCTCAGAGGCCACCCAGCCAAGGGTGGGCACTTGAGGCCTTTAGAACAGGGTGCGCCTGCCCGTGGGGTGGAAGACGACCCCCAGACTGAGTTAGAGGGGCCGGGACAAGTGGGGGATTGGAGGTAGCCGTCTGTGACAGCTGCTCCTAGGAAGGGGTGTCCCTGAACCTGCGTGGGGACGTGGGCCTGCAGAGTCTCAACCCACGAGAGCTGCCTCAGGAGGGCCCGGGTCCTCTTTGTCATGGTTTGCTTCTGCAACTGGTCATCTCACATTTTATCTTGTTAGAGCCTCACGCAAGGATATGTAAGCAGAGAGAGAGAGGGAGGATTGATGTGAGAGAGAAACATCGATGGGCTGTCTTTTTTTGCACACATCCTGAGCAGAGACCCTGAGCCTGGGGATGTGCTGACCGGGACTCGAACCCACAACTTCTTGGTGCACCGGAAGATCCAGTTCACAGAGCACCAGCAATGGCTAAATTCATATTGATTAACTTCCAGTTTTGTTTCTATTTTCCAACTCGGAGGTTCTGAGGTTAGCATCAGCCGAAGGTCAGTGACTGAGTAGAGGTTATGCTAAGTCAAGAGGATATTCACACGCACGCTCATGAAAACAAGTAAGACGACGATGCGCTTTGATTTAAAGTGGTCACTTGCCCACTCGCATTCGCGTTGTTCTTTTATGACAGAATTCACTGGGTCTTGAAGCACAGACCAGGCGAGTCAGGGTCAGAGCTGCCGGGTTACCGTAAACCCGTCTGTGCTGGTGCTCCTCAGTCGTGGCTTTGGTCTCGGGGGGAGGAATGGGCACAGCTGTGAACACTGCGGGAGCGAGGATGGTGGAGCCACAGGAGGCAGTGCCTGCTGCGTTGAGTCTCAGGTCAGTGCCCACGTGCATTTCCTTTCCTTCCATCCTCGGGGGAAGGGCGCCACCTAGCGAGGGAAGGTTGCTATCCTCCCTCCATGGGGATGCGGTGCACTTGCATTCTTGTGTCCAGGTCTGCACTGTCGTGCACGCCAAACGTGCCAGAGCAGTTGGCTCCCTCCTGGGCCCTCCCAGGGGTCAGCCAGGTGGCAGGTGTCTTAGGGGGAGTTTGTGTCTCCAAACCAGTTGTGCCGACAGCATCGGAGCAGAAGCGGGAGCTGGCACCTTGCCTGCCAGAAGCCGTCCCCGTCCCCTTCCTCCTCCCACTCCAAGTGCTCACGGGTGTCCTGTTGCTTGGGGAGCAGGCACGGGGAGCCCAGCTGGGCACAGTCATTCCGGGACCTGGCGGGGTGGGAGCACAGGACGCTGGTCAGGATCTCCTGGGACGGATGCTGTCCCCACAGCTGGGCTTCAGGTCGCCTGGGAGGTTCCTGGGTTGCAGACCCCCATCCCTGCCCCCAGGACCTGTGGGCGCTTTGGGAGTTCTCGGTGAGAAGATGGAGTGTCAGGGAGAGGTGAGCGCTGAGTCCTGGCGAATACACGTGGTTTCACAGGGAACTTCACAAGGCCTGAGCGGCAGTTCATCGGCACACGTGTGGTGTGTGGCTCACTTCGGCGCAGGCTCCACTGCTCCCGCCTCCCCTTCCTCGTTCATTAGGCTCTGCAGGCCGAGCGTGTTTCTTAAACAGAGGCCGGTTGTGCGGTCGATCTCCACGAGTGACAGAGCCCTCTCCGTTCCTCGCTCTGGGCTCTCCTCGGGGTGTCCAGACTGTAAGAGGAAGCAGCTGTCAGGTGGGTTTGGCTGGCTTCTGTCTGCACCGCAGACCTGAGTCCTGGGCAGAGGGAGTGGCTCGGCAGTGTCTTGGTGACAGGTCAGTGCCTCTGCCGATGCCCATCTCTCAGGATGGGCTGCGGGCTGTCTGTCTTGGTGGTTCTTGGTGCCTTCACGCTGAAGAAGCCGAGAGGTCTGTGTTGAGACGCACAACTGCCACGTGGATTTCTTCTCTGGGTTTTCTCCCGATGCTGCTGACTAGCTGAGCCAGAGGGGCGCAAGGGAGGGTCCTGGGCCGGTGTCTGCAGCCTGCCCCGCCCCCTGCCTGCATGGTGGAGGGAGTCTTACCCCCGCTCCCCCATGTTTATGTGTCACTCCTCCTACACATCCCAGCCGGGCTTGCCGAGCAGCACCAAAGGGGTTGTTGAAAGGAAATACATTTAGCAAATACTTTGACAGACTGCATCCTTCTCACTCACCACGTCCCATCTGTGTTCGGAGATTAGGAAGAGGCTGCTCACACGCCTGTTTTCCAGAGGTTTCTGAGGCTTCTTGTCAAGTATAAAGACACAGCAAAGGAAAAGTCAGCCACGGGAGGTTTAGCTCCGAATGTCCGAGAGCACAGATAGCGCCCTGGTGGCTGCGGCCCCGGAAGCAGATCCCTGAGCTGGAGTCCCAGGTGAGTCTCAGCCTTTCTGAAAACGGTCGAGTGTGAGGAGTAACACTCCTGGACAGCTGGTGGCTTTGGCCCATGGGGCTTGCCGGTCCTTCTCTTGCTGTCATCTGATTGGTGACACAGTGCCTCCTACAAACTCACAAAACCAGCATCCAGTTCTGACCGCTTCTACTTGTCGCATAAACAGTCCCCTCAGATTTTGGTCCCTAACTTGGGACGTGTCAGTGAATTCGTGGAGCGTCGACTATCACACACCTGGCCACATGCCGGTTCAGCTGATGTGTGCTTGTGCTTACGGCGACAAGGTGCCCGACTGCCGTTCAGGAAGTAGGGTTCTCACTGCAGCGTCTCCGTCATCCCCTCATCACTCTCCCCCGCGCCCCCCCCCCCCCAGCAAGCTGGCTGAGTATGTGGTGGTCCCGAGGCCCCTCTTCCTCTGGCAGGTCTTAGCATCGTCCTGACCAGCCGCTCACACGTCTGTCCCCATGGATGCACGAGAACTCACCTGTCTCCCAGCTCCGTCGGTGCCCGGGGTCAGTTCCCGCTTGTTAGAGGGTGGTTTCATGTTCACCTGTGAGCACACTTGGGTTTATGGGGAGTCTCGGCCACTGAGGAAGGCTGTCCGCGTGGTGCATCTTATACCCGCCTGGACACACGCACAGCCTGCGGGCGAGGCTGAAATGGAGCCGCTGCGATGCCTGGGGGGCGGGGCCGCTGCTGGATGTGCTTCTGGGGCCGAGGGTGTCTGGTCTCTGTTTAGCTGGTCTCGGGCAGGAGCACGGCCTGGGTGTGGTGTCCACGCCAGTTTCAGCTTGTCCGTCCGCTGGGCGGTCCGCCTTTCTGAAGCCACTGCCTTGGGCGGTGACTCCCCGCCTTTTGTGAACTTCCTGTTGTTGTGTCTGCACAGAGATTGTTGAGCGCTTGTCCATGCGCTAATTTAGAAGCAGGAAAGTCTTTCGAACAGTCTTCCTGTTTTCTTTGGAATTCTTTGTATGCCCCAAAGGGACAGGCAAATGATGAGTTAAACGGCTGTGTGACAGCCACCACCCTGACTTGAGCCCACCGGCTTCGGTCCAGGTTCCACACACACACACACACACACACACACACACACACACACACCAGCTGTGTCCCTGCCACAGTTCCCGGACCCAGGCCCGAGCAGTGCTGCCTGGGGGGCTGCTGGGAGGGAGAAGTGCGTATCCCCTGTGCCCATCACCCGATCCCTTAGACACATCGTGTCTCTCTCGCCACTGAAGGTTGACGAAGAGTTCCCAAGTTGAGGATGAACCATTAGGAAACACATCAGGCTGAAACCGGTTTGGCTCAGTGGATAGAGCGTCTGTCTGCGGACTGAAAGGTCCCAGGTTCGATTCCGGTCAAGGGCATGTACATTGGTTGTGGGCACATTCCCTGTTGGGGGTGTGCAGGAGGCAGCTGGTCGATGTTTATCTCTCTCTCCCTTCCTCTCTGTAAAAAATCAATAAAATATATTTTAAAAAATATTTTTTAAAAGCCGAGACCGGTTTGGCTCAATGGATAGAGCGTCGGCTTGGGGACTGAAGGGTCCCGGGTTCAATTCCGGTCAAGGGCATGTACCTTGATTGCGGGCATATCCCCAGTGGGGGGTGTGCAAGAGGCAGCTGATCGATGACTCTCTCTCATCGATGTTTCTAACTCTCTCTCTCCCTTCCTCTCTGTACAAAATCAATAAAATATATTAAAATATATATATAGAGAACACATCAGGCCGAAACTGGTTTGGCTCAGTGGATAGTGTGTCAGCTTGTGGATTGAAAGGTCCTGAGTTCGATTCCAGTCAAGGGCATGTACCTGGGTTGCAGGCATATCCCCAGTAGCAGGTGTGCAAGAGGCAGCTGATCAATGATTCTCTCTCATCAATGTTTCTAACTCTCCTTTCTTCTCTGATAAAGTCAATCAATAAAATATATTTAAAAAAAGAAAGAAAGAAAAAGAAACATCAGTTAGCGAGGACTCGTAGGTTCTGCTTGAGCATGTCGGAGTTTCCCTGGGTGAGGGCTGGCGAGCAGGATGGGTAGGGGCCTTCCTGGTTAGAGGCGTGAAGCTGTGCTACCAGGCAGCCCTAGCAGGACTCGGGCCACGGTGATGTGCGCATGCCCTCTGAATGCCCGGGCGGTAGCCGTGACCTTCCTAGTTACATGTCTGTGTAAAGTATAAACTGTCGCTTTACTTGTTCTCACCAGTCAACTTCTGCCCGCCTGCTGCAGGCCGGAGATGGAGAGCAAGGACACGCTGCGGGGGCTGCACAGGATGGAGGACCGGCCGGAGGAGCGCGTGATCCGAGAGAGGCTGAAGGCCACTTGCATGCCCGCCTGGCGGCACGAGTGGCTGGAGCGCAGGAGCCGCAGGGGCCCGGTGGTGAGTGGGCCGCAGGGCGGAGGGAGCTGGTGTGTCTTCTGTCCAGTGCACAGGCGGTTTCCTTGCTCTTGTAGCTGCTGAGAACCCTCAGCTCACCCTGTTCACTGAGTCACGGCATGCATGGGCTGGTGGCCGGAATGCTTGGGCAGCACTGCCCTCTACTGCCAGCACCTAAAATCCTTAGTGTTATACTGGTCTTAGAACTTTAAAAAAAAGCAATCTTTCAAGTTTTCTTCTGATGCTTTATCTCTAAGGTAGGATCCAAGGGTCTTAATAACAGAAATCTTCCAGGAAATCAGAAAAAACGAAGTAGATTTGGATTTGAGACGAAGTAAAAGGATGTCTAGGTTGGGGACCACAGCCCAGAGCCTCAGTTCGGAGGGGCCATGGCTTTTCCTCTAAAGCGCAGGCGGGCCTCAGAGACGTGGGGGGCCGGTTCCAACCACCCCAGTGGAGCAGCCGTGATCTTTCTGCAGGGGCGGCGTCGCCTTCGTTTGTAAAAAGCGCATCTGTGAGCGCAGGAAAGCTACACACAGCAGAATGGGACAGGCCTGCCCCTCAGATCTGAGATGTGCTGCTTACGCCTTGTGGAGGGTGCAGGGTCCCAGTGCTCAGTGACCCAGGCCCAGTGCACACCATGGTGTCTGCTCCTTCTTTATGAACAGATGCCATTGGAGAGGCGTGTGCGTGTCTGTGTGTGTTTGTGTGTGTATGTGTGCGTGCACGGATATGTGCGTGTCAAGGGACGGGGACGTGGCTAGAATCATGAAAGTTACTGAGCAAACCATTCATTTGGTATTGGAAACGCCTCCACCACAGCCCTGCCCAATGATTTAACTAGCGCTGGATTCACCCCATGTGCCCGTTTAACTTTAAACATGAATAAAAGTAAGAATTCCATCCCTCGGTCACACCGGCTGCATTGCAGATGCTCTGGCAGTGAACAGAGGAGAGAGAGTGGGCGGCCGGCTGAGCCGGGACTGGCCTGAGGTGGCAGGGTCAGTGCTCGCTCTTGGCCGGGCAGGGTCTGAAAGTGCAGGTGCAGGGACAGCAGATTTGGTAAACTGCGTCCCCTTCGGAGACTGACGGCTCAGCTTTTCTCCTGAGCCACCGGCTGTAATGTGACCTTGCCCCAGATAGCACACACGGTTTCCAGGAACCAGTCGGAGTATTTTATTCTTTACGTTATGCCCAATGGCATTTCCAAAAAGAAAACCCTGCTTCGGTCTGGCTGAGTGAATTCCCTGTAGAAGCTGTAGTGCTTGTTTCACATTGATTTTGAATACTGCATGATCAGCGTGATACCGTTCCAGAAGGACATGTAATAGCGTGTGAACCAGTGAGCAAGCCTGAAAGACTGACATCTGTGGGGGAAACATCTGGCCTTCGTGGTTGAAATCATGCCAAGTGAAAGCGATGAGCTGCTGTTACATGTACAGTAAAGCTCACTGGTTTATGTTCAGATTTACTTAGGTTTTTAAGTAATCGGAATATTGGCATTCCGTTTAGGTGGTGAAGCCAATCCCTGTTAAAGGAGATGGATCTGAAATGAATAACGTGGCAGCTGAGGTGCCAGGAGAGGCCCAGGCGGGCACGGGCCCAGCTCCCAAAGGCCGCCGCAGCCCATCCCCCGGCGGCTCTCCGGCTGGGCGCCCTGTGAAGGCCGAGTCCCCAGGAGTGAGGAGGAAGCGAGCATCTCCGGTGCCAGTAAGTTCATGTTTAGCAAGCATGTTGTTTCTGTGACCCTCAGACTCGTATGTAACAGACCGTCACGTGGGAGAGCGGTAGGGCTCAGGTGCGTTGGACATGCATTCTGTCCGGTTGCATCAAACATGGAGGTTTTTCTTCAGAATATAAAGTGCCACGTGCCGGCTGATATGACGTGCTGGGGTATTGTTGCTTTGGAGAAGTAAGCCATTTTCCTAACACACGCCGATGCTGTGAAGTTTCAGAGCGGGAGGACCACACCGCCACGCAGAGCCCCGTCCCCCGACGGCTTCTCGCCATACAGCCCCGAGGAGACCAGCCGCCGCGTGAACAAGGTGATGCGGGCCCGGCTCTACCTGCTGCAGCAGATCGGCCCCAACTCCTTCCTGATCGGAGGCGACAGCCCGGACAACAAGTACCGCGTGTTCATCGGGCCGCAGGTGGGTCCTGCAGGGTCTTTATTCCGACTGCCACCACTCAGGTTTATGCACGACAGCTTTCTGAAATTTAGTAAACTAACCCGTGAGTTTTAAATATATTTGGGTTAATAAACGCTTTTTTATCCTCACCCAAGGATATTTTCCCATTGATTTTAAGAGAGAGTGGAAAGCGGGGGAGAAACATTGATGTAAGAGAGAGACATCATTGGTTACCTTCCGCACACACCCTGACTGGGGCTGAGGATCAAACCTGCAATTCATATGCATAACCCATGGATACAGACAATAGGGTAGTGAAGGTGGGGGTGGAGGAAGTGTGGCGTCTGGGGAAAGGTTGGAAGGGTCAAAGGGATAAAAAGCGGGACATATGTAATACTTTCAACAATAAAGAATTCTTTTTTTAAAAAAAAGCTGTAATCCTGCTGAAACCAGTTGGCTCAATGGATTGTGTGTCAGCCTACCGAATGAAAGGTCCCGGGTTCGATTTCGGTCAAAGGGCATGTACCTTGGTTGCGGGCACATCCCCAGTAGGGGGTGTGTGTAAGAGGCAACTGATCTCTCTCATCGATGTTTCTAACTCTCTATCCTTCTCTCTTCCTCTCTAAAAAAATAAGTATATTAAAAAAAACAAAAAAACAAAACTGTAACCCAAGTATGTGCCCTTGACCGTGAATCAAACCCAAGACTCTTTGGTGGCGGGCCAATGCTCTAACACCAGCAAGGGCGGACTAATACCTATTTTTAATGTATTTTTGAAGTTTTTTACTCTTGACTTAACATACGTTAGAGTACAAATTTGTTCTATTTAATAGATTTACCAGAAATCAGAGATTTGTGGAGATAGCTGTAGACTTTCTTGCATATTAGCTAGTAGAAACTTGAGTACAATAAACTTGGAGATACTCTCTAAGAAGTGCTCGCTGAGCCTTTGAGAGCACTTCCCGGTGTCCCCGCAGAACTGCAGCTGTGGGCGTGGCGCGTTCTGCATCCACCTGCTGTTCGTCATGCTCCGCGTGTTTCAGCTGGAACCTTCCGACCCAATGCTATGGAGGAAAACTTTAAAGAATTTTGAGGTAATTTTAATTAAATGCTAGAGTAAAACTGTCAACAAATTTTTATGATCTGTTTCTAAAAATTTTCCGTAAGCTCTCAATTTAAGCTGTCATTGAGTAGGTTGTGAAAATAAATAGTTCTCTTGTAATCCGTTGATGAATTAGTCTAAAAACCAGTAAACACTGCCGGCTGTAGTGACACTGTCTGTAGTAAGCTGTGTGTATTCTTCGTTCTGAAGCTCTTAGATGGCTTCATGAAGAACTTTGAAACGAAACACAAATAGTTCAGCCTCTAGGACTGTTCCTGTGTATATTATGGCACAAATATCATTGTTACTATTTCTTCAATGGTAGGTTGAGAGTTTGTTCCAGAAATATCACAGCAGGCGTAGCTCGAGGATCAAAGCTCCCTCTCGGAGCACCATCCAGAAGTTTGTGTCCCGCATGTCCAGCTCCCACACGCTGTCCTCGCCGAGCGTGGCCACGGCCAGTGGGGAGAGCAGGTGGGTACTGTTCAGGCACTGGAAACACTCTGTCCACTGGGCAAGGACATTGACACCAGCGTGGCCCGTACACGTTTGGCGTGTGCGCGTGTGGTCACAGCTGTTGGTTTATTCAGAAGGTGCCAGGCAGAATTTCGGGTGCAGTCTTAAAAGCTAGCTCACACCATGGCCTGCACTTTCGCATGCGTGCGTCTGAAGGAAGAGAGGACAGGAGAAAGAGCCATTGCACGGGGGCTCCTCAGTCGCACTCTGAGGCCACGTGCCTGTGGCGCTGGCTCGGCCCCCTCTCCCAGCTGACGCTGCCCTCTGGCCCCTGCCCTCTTGCCCCTGCAGCCTCAAGGATGAGGAGGAGCAGCTGTGCCCCATCTGCCTGCTGGGCATGCTGGACGAGGAGAGCCTGACCGTGTGTGAGGACGGCTGCCGCAACAAGCTGCACCACCACTGCATGTCCATCTGTAGGTGGCGCCACTGCCCTCGCCCCTCCTGTCCACTGTCCTCCCTCCCCTCCTCTGACGGTGGTTGTGGTTAGGACACCTGCCAGGTTTTTGGCACCTGGAGGTTAGGGGCCATCCCAGATGAGCTGTAGCAGTGAAGAGATGTAGTCTCGCGTGAGGGCCAGACGGAGAGGAAGCGCAGCTGTGATCTGGAAGGCACACATGCAGGGGCAGGGGCACGGACAGGTCACAGACCAACCTCGGAGCGAGGGTGGGAAAGACAGGCCAGGGCGCTGAGTGGCAGACGGTTTGAAAGACAGCAACAAAGCCTGTGTGCTCACTAACGGCATGGCACTTCCCTGCTGCCTTGCCTGCTTTTGGGTCAGTACTCCATCACATTGTCCTCCTAGGTCCCCTCCGTCTGTGCACCCTGGACTAGCCACTGCAGTTACTCCTGATAATAATGAGTAATAAGGTATATTTTTTCTCAGGGGCAGAAGAATGTCGAAGAAATAGGGAGCCTTTGATCTGTCCCCTCTGCAGGTCTAAGTGGCGGTCCCATGATTTCTACAGGTGAGTTCCAGGGAATGGCTGGATGCATCAGGTAAAAACTGCAGTGTTCTCTGGGGTGATTTGCACCTGTCAGTTACCTCAGCAAGTTGTTGCTTTTTCACTTAGTCACGAGCTGTCAAGCCCCGCGGATTCCCCGTCCTCCCTGCGGGCGGCCCCGCCGCCCCCAGCACAGCCTCCACTGGTGGGACCGCAGCACAGGGACCCGGAAAGCAGCTCCGGCCTCACGCACTACGGGGCTCAGCACATCCCCGCTGCCTACAGAGACCTGGCTGAGCCCTGGGTCCAGGTGAGCCCGCGGGTCTCCCAGGTGCTGGGCAGTCAGGAAGGGCTTGCTGTGCCCTGGGGACATTCAGTCCCCTGGTGACGGTGCCGTGCCTTCACGGAGGTCAGCTTCAGCGTCTCCAGAAACGCCTGTCTGACGAGAGACAGACGATTGCCCAGGCCAGGCAGCAGCCTCAGGGCCCTCCTGCCAGTGCTCAGTCCATCCCGCTGGGCTCGTCCTGGTCTGTCCTTGTTACCATTGGAACTCGGCTCTTCCCTTGTGCTGCCTGCTATAGCCGGTGCTTTGCTGCCGAGTGTGGGAGCCGAGAGGTGGTATCTCTCGTCTTGGCCATTTTTTAGGAAGGGTCTCCTTCCTCCACTTTCTCTGCCGACGCATGCTTTTTGTCCTCAGTCGTTGGGAGTTTTCGGTTTCTTGGTTGTTCAGTCCGTTATGTTTAAATAGAATCCAAAGCAGACAGTACCTTCAGGAGACAGGAGTGAAATTTCTGATAATCTGTTAAGATCTGTTTCCTGCTCTTAAATGTGTAAACAGGCACAGTACTTCATCAAGCCTGTACACCAGGGGTCCTCAAACTTTTTAAAGTGGGGGCCAGATCACGGTCCCTCAGAGAGCTGGAGGGCCGGACTATATGAACTACTAATTCCTACTGTAACACCTCGGCTGCGCTCACTGCCCAAAAAACCTGGCGGGCCGGATCAGACTCCTCTGCGGGCCGCATGTGGCCCGCGGGCCGTAGTTTGAAGACGCCTGCTACACCATTAGGATTTCTTTCCTTTCTCCTTGCATATCCTGCAGCTTTTGAATTTTCTGTTCTCAGTGTGTTAGCAACCTCATGTGAGTCAGATGAATTTGCAGACTTAGTGAACGCGTCTTTTCTTTTGCCTGGTTCGTACATGGCATGTGCATAGGCCCTTGCCTGCCCCTTCCTGAGTCCTCAGGAGAGCTCTGGCTTCGACACGGAGACATGGGCGATTCCAGGCCGAGGTCTGGTTAGTTTGCAGAAGCTCTAGGTTGGACGAGCTGTATGTTCCCAGCTTCTTAGGAAGAAGATCCTGGGAGACAGAACTGGGGCTTAGCCATACGCTAATACGCCGGGCGCAGAATCAGTTCCCTATTTCTAGTCAATTTGTTCGCTTTTATATCACTTTAAAACAAACACACAGGTAAATACATCATTTGTTTTCCCAGAATTGTCTCTTCATCTCTGATATTTAGAAACTGCCCATGTAAGTTACCATAGGTGTGAAGTTTGCCTGTAGCTGATTGGCCATCATCTCGAGACCCGGTCCCCTTCTCCCGGGTTCCCAATGGCTTCACGGGTGGTGACACACACCTTCACCCAGGTGCTGCATCCCCCTCGGCTGGTTTGAATGAAAACGAACTTTTTTTTTGTCTTGATTTTTCACTCACTGGTTTCCCGCCTGTTTTGTCTAGTTTAGCTATTTTTTGTACAAGACAGAATTCAAGTAAAAGCCCGTAACTCACCAGTCAACTGTAGTACGAGGCCCCTCCTACTCCCACCCTAGTGTCTTTCTGGAGGTGGCTTCTCTTGATCTTGTTTTTCTCTGTAAACTCCCACAACGCAAACATGGAGCTAAGGTCTGCCCTGCCGTGTTGCTGTGTCAGCAGAGGAGCACAGAAATAAGTGTGACACGCGTGTGTGCCCATCCACTCACTGGAGGTCACTCTTGAGTTCACAGCAGCTGATAATTACAGTTCAACTTGAGGCTAAAATTCCTTATGATTTTTTAATTGATTTCAGATATATATATATACATATATATTTTTTTCTTTTTATTTATTTTTTTCTTTTTTTTTTTGAGCCTTTTAGTGCACAGGATGATGCTCTGACTGAGCCACCCGGCAGATTCCTTCTTATGGTTTTGTTTTGTTTTTTTGTTTTTGTTTCCTTCTTATGGTTTTTAAGTGGCTGGACATATTTGAAACTGTGGTGCAGTGAAGGTTTAAGAAATGCCAAATCCATCATCTGGTGTGGATCAGTGGTTGAACGTCAACCTATGAATCGGGAGGTCAGGGTTCAATTCCCGGTTAGGGCACATCCCCAGGTTGCAGGTTCAATCCCCAGTGTGGGACGTGCAGGAGACAGCCGATCCATGATGCTCCCTCATCAGTGATGTTTCTATCCCTCCCTCTCCCTTCCTCACTCTGCAGTTTAAAGCACACACATACGTGTACATGCATGTAGGAAGAAATGCCAGTTTTCCAGCCGCTCCTTTCTCCCTACTGAAGCTCTGTGTTTGGTTGCAGGTGTTTGGGACGGAGCTCGTTGGCTGCTTGTTTTCTAGAAACTGGAACATCCGCGAGATGGCTCTGCGGCGACTCTCCCACGACGTCAGCGGGGCACTGCTGCTGGCCCACGGGGAGAGCACCGGGCACTCGGGGGGCGGGGGCCGGAGCAGCCCGGGGGCCGGGGCCAGCAGCGCGCCTTCCCCGCCCACGGGCGACGTGGTGGGGGCCTGCTGCAGCGTGCTGTCCATGGTCTGCGGCGACCCTGTCTACAAAGTGTACGTTGCTGCTTTAGTAAGTAGCTCCCTCCCTAACCTCGCCTCGGGACGGGTGGCTGGTTTTACATTGTTCCTAGATGGCATTTTTAAGACCCAGTAACACATCATCTAATTGAACTGAGACAATCCCAATTTTGTCTTCATTCCATAATCCCAGGAAGTTGCCATTTCCATTTAACCCCTCCACCGGGCTCCACTGTTACCCTGCTGGGCTTTCCTGCAGACTGCTCACTCTCTTTCCTGGGCAGCCACGTCTCGCTGTCCACAGCTTTACATTCTCCTTACTTCACACGTAACCCAGCTCACAGGACTTGGTGGGGTGCCAGCAGAGCGACTGGTTACTCATTAAATGTGTATGAGTAGCCATTGAGGGGATGGACTTAGTGAGCACTGTGGACTCAGGAGTGTTCTCACAGATGAGGGCCCGTGAGTGAGACCATGGCCGCCTTGTTTTCCTGGCTCATGCCGTGAGAAATCTCCGTGCGTGGATGGCGTGGTGAGGCTGTGCAGATCTGTCTGACCTTCTCCTGCGTGGAGAGCAGGTTGGGCGCAGGTTCTCAGCCTCAGCACTATTGAGCCACGTAGCTCCTTCGTTGGGTCAGGGCTGTCCTGTGCAGGTAGGATGCTCAGCCGCACCCCTGGCCTCCACCCTTGGTCCTGGGAGCACCCTTTCTCCCCCTCAGGACACCGGGGGTCTGTTGAAGTCCTGAGGTCACGATGCCCCCAGTGCAGAACCACTGCGGCAGGAGAATTCCTACCCAGTTTGGTTTGAAAACTATTTCTTTTTTTGCTCCCACTGGCGGTCTCTTCCCGACCCTCCTCAATCACTGTGCCTAAGGCACCTCTGGTTGAGCAGTGCCCACGGTGGTTCTGAACCTGCTTTTGGGTCCAGAATTGAGTGGTCTCGTGCGTTAGCCTCCACGTAGCACACGGTGATGAGCAGCTAGTTACTGGGCTGACCTGGGCAGTCTGGACTGTGGCCAAGGTGGTAGGGACACGGCTCCGTCCTGGGGTGCCACCTGCTGGTGTGACCACAGGGCTCCCAGTCCAGCTCTCCCACCTGTGACAGCGATGTCACCGCGCGGAGTGCAGCATAGGAGTGCTGAGCACAGACGAGCCACCGCTCTGCCTGGAGCATCATTTCGCTATCTCGGCTTGGAGACTGTCAGGGTATCTGTTGCCTTCGCAGCATATCCTGGCACATGTCCGTGGCGGGTGGGCGGGGCTGTGAAAAGTTCCTTGAGAAAGGAGCCGTGTTCACTTAAAACCAAGGAACACAGTCACATGGGGCTCGCTGGGTCCGCAGGGTCAGGGCCGGGGGCTTCAATGTAGCCATCGGGAGTCCGTCTATATAATCTGAGGAGGAGCATCACCTCCTAGTGGGTCTCCCAGGCGTTTCCCGTGGCCTCTGTAAGGCCCAGCACAGCGCAGAAGACAGACCCGAGTTCCTGGCCCAACTTCTGGCCTCTTCCCACTGATTCCAGAACGAACCTCAGGCACACGTGACGCTCAGCCCACGCCTGCCTGGCTGGCTCTTCTCGGTCAGCTGTGTCCTGAGTGGCTGAGAGCTGCAGGTGTGCAGGAGCATGGAACTGGTCAGTCAGGGCGCTGGGTCCTGTGCTGATCCTTTAGAGGTCGTGTGTCTGCTCAGTGAACAAGGGGACTCCTGACCGGGAACCTTCCGCCTCCCACTCCTACATGCAGCATTCTGCCACTTCTCTAAAGCTGGGACTGTCTCCTCAAAAATGACACTCCCCCATGAAACCACAGGGCACGCGCAGACCTAAGCAAGGCCACGTGGCCGACAGCCGTCACAGCCCACACCGTGCCCGTGCCCGCAGTGTCCTGAGCTGCCCGTCGCCGTCAGCTGTGGCTTGGTTCCTCCTGCTGTGGCTGGGGAGCTCCCTCAGGGTGGCTCCTGTCTTTTTTTTTTTCTTAATCTTTTTTTGACTTTTTACTTTGAAACTAATCAGACTTTAAAAAGATGCAGAAATAGCTCAGAGCTCCTTCCTACCATGGAGTTTGCAGTCATTGTTTTATGGCGATTGTCATCTATTCCTGTCACCGCTCGTTCTGCTGCTCATATTGCGTCAGGAGCGCGATGCCCGGATGTTCCTCAGACGTAGTTGAACTGACCTTCCCTTCCCTTCCGTTCCATCCTCAGAAAACCCTGCGGGCCATGCTCGTGTACACGCCCTGCCACAGCCTGGCTGAGAGGATCAAGCTGCAGCGGCTTCTGCGACCGGTCGTGGACACCATCCTGGTCAAGTGCGCAGACGCCAACAGGTAAGGCCGCCCGATGGGCCAGGCTCGCCCGGTAGGTCAGGCTCGCCCGGGTAGGTCCGAGGCATGTGACTCAGTGAGGCTCTGGGGACTGGGCGGAGTCACAGCTGCCAGAGCTCACTGTGGGGTCTCCTCGAGACATTTCATCTGAAGTCCCGTTGGTAAGGACCCCGCAGTGTACATACCACAGGCATGACCTCATCTTAGGGAGGGTCTCACGGCATAGGGACCAGTGAAGTCACTGTACATGCTTCACCTCGTTTTCAGGACCCCCACAGAAACCCTTTCTATGTCATGAACTCTTCCTCTACTTATGACAGTTCACTCTCATTATGTCAGTAACCCCACTCCCAGTCCTATCCATCCCTCTGTTATCCTTGAACATCGACAAGGAATGAGAACAGCCCTACCTGGGGGCAGATATCCACGCAGGAGGGGGGTGGAGACAGCCCACGTGAGCCTGGCGGTGCTTGTCAGATGCGGTTCCTTCCCGTCTAATGGGGAAGACCAGCATGGCTAGGGAGCAGGTGTTGAGCGGCCCCGTCTCTCCGTGTCCCCCAGACCTCCGTGGTGTGAGCATTGACTGTCCCGAGTTCCTCGTCTGTAGAGGTCTTAGAACCAGGTGCTGGTTCTGGCCTTCTGCCTGTCACCCCTTCTCACAGCCACAGACGGCAGGTTGCTCAGAGAGAACACACGTCTGAAAGCGGGGCAAGTGAACAGCTTGTGAAGTGCGTAGGGAATCATGTCGTTCACACACGGGGGCAGGCATTTTCTGAGACTCCACTACTTCTGTGGCATGGATGCTGTTGTCCACTTTCTGCCATCCAAAAGTCAGGTAGCCTGCCTGGCCACTTGAATGAACCTCATAAGAAACACTGAGACGCTTCAGTTTTGTTTTAACAAGTTGTGAGCGTGAGAGCACGCCCTTTACTATATCTGCTGGCCGTCAGCCCAGAGGTCCTGGGGACAACTTGGAGTGGGGTGAACTGTGAACGTGTTACGTACGGCGACGTGAACGCAGGCTCTGGGGTGGAGGGCACAGTCCTGGGAGCCTCCCCTTCTCCCGAGGCCATGCCTTCTCGCTCCCTTCGTGTGTCTCACCCAAGCCCGTCTGACGCCTGTCGTTGCAGCCGCACCAGCCAGCTGTCCGTGTCCACGCTGCTGGAGCTGTGCAGAGGCCAGGCGGGGGAGCTGGCGGTCGGCAGAGAAATACTTAAAGCTGGTAACAACTCTTCCCTTCTCCTCGGCACGTTAGCATGGTCCTTCCCAAGCTGTTGAATCTCCTCATCTCTGTTGGGCAGTTACGGGATTTCTAAGCGATTTTGGAACTTGAGTCCATCAGCTCCCATTAGAAATAGGATGTGAACCGAAGAGAGTAGTTCTTAAATGAGGACGACCCGGGGCACTAGGCTGGGCCACTTGGTCACGTTTTGTTTTCTATTGTAATGTCCTGTGTTTCAGTCACTTCCTCTTCCATTCCTTCTGCAGGTTCCATTGGTATTGGTGGTGTGGATTACGTCTTAAATTGTATTCTTGGGAACCAGATGGAGTTGAACAACTGGCAGGAGCTGCTGGGCCGCCTCTGCCTGGTGGACCGATTGCTGCTGGAGTTCCCCGCCGAGTTCTACCCGCACACCGTCAGCGCCGAGGCGGCCCCCACCGAGCCCATAGAAGTCAGGTAATCTCTCTTGGGGTGCCGGTCCTGTGCCTCCCTGCTGTGCCCACACCTACCCCAAGGACGAGGTCTAGATGCACGGGACTCAGAAATCAGAGGAACATGTAGGTTACTAATGTCTAACAGCCAAAGTCTGGGCTGGTTACTTAAAAACGTCTAGGCCTTGATTATATTTTTGGAATGCACACGCATAATTACCGCCATTTTTGTTTGCATGTTTTGCAGTGATAACTGTGGGCTAACACGTATTTTCTGCAGGTATAAGAAGCTGCTGTCCCTGCTGGCCTTTGCCCTGCAGTCCATCGACCATGCCCACGCAGTGGTCGGGAAGCTCGCTCGCAGGGTCTACCTGAGTTCCGCGAGGATGGTCACTGCTGTGCCCCCCGTGTTTGTGAAGCTGTTAGAAATGCTGAGTGTTTCCAGCTCCACCCACTTCGCCCGGATGCGCCGCCGCCTGATGGCCATCGCAGAAGAGGTGGACATCGCCGAGGCCATCCAGCAGGGCCTCGAGGACGCCTGGGACGGCCGACGTGATAGCTTTCTGCAGGCGTCGGCCCCTGAGAGCCATCCCGAGTCCCCAGGGAGCAGCCCTCGGCAGGGCCCAGACCATGTGGAGAAAACTGGAAGAGGACTGCGCCCTTCAAGGCTGAGCGCCAGCTCGGAGGACATCTCTGGCCGGCCGGCCAGCACTGTCCTGGGGCCTCCTACTTCAGCAACGACGGAGCAGCCAAAGCCAGCGGTGCAAGCGAAGGGCAGACCCCTCAGCCAGTGTCTGAGCTCCTCTTCCCTGTCCCCACCCTCCCAGCCAGTGCTCTCGCCCTCGTCCACCCCGGCTTCATCAGCCCAGACCACACCAGCGGGCCCCGGGGACTCCTCTAAGCACAGATCTCAGGGATTCGTTCCCTACAACATACCTTCCGCGTCGCCTCCACCACATCGCAAGTTTTCCCTGCAGTTCCAGAGAAACTTTTCCGAAAACAGAGACTCGGACAAGCTCTCCCCCATCTTCACGCAGTCCCGGCCCCTGCCATGTAGTAGTATACACAGGCCCAAGCCCTCTCGGCCCTCCCCTGGCAGCCCCGCAAGACAGGCCGATGCCGGGACAGGCATGACCCTGGACCTGCATGGGGCCTCCGAGGGCGGCAACAGCTTCGGCAGCAGCAGTAGCAGCAGCGCCGTGATCCCCAGCGAGGAGACAGTGTTCACCCCGGTGGAGGACAAAAGCCGACTGGACGCCAGCACCGAGCTCAGTTCGAGTATCGAGGACCTGCTCGAAGCGTCCATGCCCTCCGCTGACACCACAGTGACTTTTAAGTCAGAGGTTGCTGTCCTCTCTCCTGAAAAGGACGAAAGTGACGATACCTACAAAGACGACATGAGTCATAATCAGAAGTGCAAAGAAAAGATGGAGGCTGAGGAGGAGGAGGCTTTGGCGATCGCCATGGCGATGTCCGCCTCTCAGGACGCCCTCCCTGTGGTGCCTCAGCTGCAGGTGGAGAATGGAGAGGACGTCATCATCATCCAGCAGGACGTAAGTACGCTCCGGGGAGGCTGGGCGCGTCCTCAGACCACGTGCGATAAACCCAGTTCAGACAAGTTCATCACTAGAAGCGGGTCTTGCATGTGGAATCAGTGTTTATGTTGCTGTGGAAACAGATAAGTCCTTGCCTGTTTCAGAGGCGTTTCTGTGGACACTGTGCATAGCGCCCAGCTGTCCATTCCGCAGTTCAGTGGTGGCTCAGGAAGCCAGACCCAACGGGAGTAGTGTTGGCTAGGCTCACTGCACAGGCTTCCTCTTAACAATAAAGAGCTGCTTTCCTTTGCTGCACAGACGCCCGAGACCCTCCCAGGACACACCAAAGCAAAGCTGCCCTACCGGGAGGACTCGGACTGGCTGAAGGGCCAGCAGATCGGCCTTGGGGCCTTCTCCTCCTGCTACCAAGCTCAGGACGTGGGGACCGGGACTTTAATGGCCGTGAAGCAGGTAAGCAGCTAGTGAGGGTGGACATGACGAAGGTGGTCACAGCGGAGCATGAACAACTGAGATGATGTGTTCTGTGTGTATGTGCTTCGTTCTCTGCGTTTTCAGAGACCTGAAGGTCAGAGTAGACATGGTCTCGGCCATAAGCTCTGCTACGGTTGGAGCAGAGTTGTGGGAGACACACTCCAGGGTCTCTGCCAGCCAGGCCGCTTCCGTGCTTGTCACACCCAGAGCAGCTTCCTACTCGCCAGCAAGGCCAGGATGCAGGTTGTCCTGGGCTCCGGGCTACTTTCTATAGCGAGCATGCAGATCAACATGAGAAGACTGCAAAGCTTCCACTTTGAAATCATGGGGCTTTTTTCACTTTCACACTGTCTTCAGACAGTTTAGGAAGATGGGTTATATTCCTTTTTGGGGGTCATTTTCCTTTTATTTCATTGCTTCTAAAGTAAGATTCTCATTTAAAAGATTTTTTGGTAAAGTATCTACACTGCACCATTAGCATAAATGCCATTTGCTGTTAATATAGAAGCTAATTTGCAATTGCCCACTTAGATCAGATTGTTAGTGAGAACTATAAACAGAAGCTCAGCAGTGAAAACTCTGTCCACGTGTTTACTGCAACAGGTGACGTATGTCAGAAACACGTCGTCGGAGCAGGAAGAAGTTGTGGAGGCACTGAGGGAGGAGATCAGAATGATGAGCCACCTGAACCACCCGAACATCATCAGGATGCTGGGAGCTACCTGCGAGAAGAGCAATTACAACCTCTTCATCGAGTGGATGGCAGGTATGCTCATGTCCCAAGTCGTGAACATCGTACACGGATTTAACTTTCTGCTAGATATTTAGGAAAAATGTTTTAATGACCACTGATTTTTACTAAATAGTTTACACAAATCACCTCTAATGTATGACAAGCTGCAAATATTTGTGTTGTCTTTCACTTAAACTTGAAACATTCATTACCGCTACCTTTTAAACTTTTTCAGTGTTTCTTTTAAAATGATTATGTACACTGTTTTAAAAGAATAATTTTTTTGAAACCTGGTAGATACAAAAGCCTATTTTCCCAGGTAGCCTTCATTAATTGGACAGGTTTAAGAGATGATTTAACATGAAAGTGTGAAACTAAAATCGATTAATGTATAACTTGGAAATTTTACTCTAGGTAAACTAGTACTGGAGCATCAAGTTGAACCTTGTCATCCACTTCAGCAAATAATGACTATGTTTCATCTTGTATTATGCAGTGTACATAGTAAAACTAAGACTTGGGATGGAATCAGGAGATAAGTGCTTGGTTTAACTTCTTAGACCTTTTGTGTTTGGAGAGAGTATATCTATTTACAAATCAGCTCTTCTTTTTAGTTGAAGTACACTTGACATACAGTATGTGTACAAGTGTACAACATAGTGATTCAACCTTTACATACTTTTCAGTGTGATCACCACACTAAGTTTAGTAACCCATCTGTCACCATACAAAATTAAGATATTGTTGATGATTGTTCCTGTCCTATAAACTACATCCCTATGACTTATTAGATAAAAGAATTGCGGGATCATATGTAATTTTATTTATTCATTTATTTTTTAGGAAAATCCATACTTTTCCACAATGGATGTAGCACTCTGCATTCCCACCAACAGTGCACAGGGAGTTGCCTTTTCTCCACATCCTTGCCAACACTTACTCTTTGTTGTCTTTTGATAACCATTCTGACAGGTGTAAAGGCATATCTCACTGTGGTTTTAATTTTCATTTCCCTGATTATTGGTGATTATTGGGTACCTTTCTTATGTCTGTTGACCATCTGTATGTCCTCTTTAAAGAATTGTCTATTCAAGTCCTCTGCCCATTTCTTCATTAGGATTGTTTGGTTTTCTTTTTTTTTATTATTGTTTAGTTTTTTAGTGTTGAGTTATAGGAGTTCTTTATATATTTTAGATCTTAACCCCTTATAAAAAGTACCATTTGTGAATATCTTCTTCCATTCAATTGGTTGCCTTTTTGTTTTGTTGGTTTCCTTTACTGTATAAAAACTTGCTTTGATATAGTCCCATTTTGTTTTTGTCTTTTTGTTGTTGCCCTTTCCTGAGGGAAACATATCCAAAAAATATTGAAGAGACTGCTTTTTTTCCCTATTGTATATTCCTGCCTCCTTTGTCATAGATTAATTGACCATATAAGTGTGAGTTAATTTCTGATCTTCCTAGTTTGTTGCATTGATTTATATATCTGATTTTATGCTATTTTATGCTAGAACAACATACTATTTTGATTACTTTGTCTCATGATACTGTTTTTATTTCCTTTGATTGTTTAGTAGCATGTTGTTTAGTCTGCGTGTATGTGTTTTTCCCAGTTTTCTTCCGGTAGTTTGATTTCTAGTTCCATACTGCTATGGTTGGAGAAGATGCTTGATATGATTCCAATCTTCTTAATGTATTCAGACTTCTTTTGTGACCTAATATCTGGTCTATCCTGTGCACTTGAAGGCATATTCTGCTGCTTTTGGGTGAAATGCTTTTAAAATATCAATTAAGTCCATGTAGTCTAATATAATATATCACATAAGGCCACTGTTCCTTGTTGAATTTCTATCAAAATGATCTATCCATTGATGTAACTGTGGTAGCTAGGCCAGCTGCACTTCCCAGTCTTAGAAGAGCGATCTTATGTAGAAGATGTCTTGTGGGGCACAATGCCCTAATCTTTCTTGGTGCCCAGAGTCAGGTGCTTCAGGGTGTTCCCTGTGTGGGCTGAGTGCATCCTCCTATGTAGTTGGGCCATGAGTGCTGTGGGCAGGCCAGTGGGTGAGGTTTACTCTCAGGCTGACTTGCTCTGTTTCCCATAATGTGAGAGAACCCATTCTCCTGGTGCAGTTCCCTCATGGCATAACAGTTGGGTGTGGGTCACATGGGGTATGGACCCTGATCAGACCACAGTTCTGCCTTACTACTGTTTCACTGTGTCTTTTTTATATCCTGGGTATAGAGGTCTTCTCAGTTCGTCTTCAGGTCATTCTCAGCCATGGTTGCTCTGTGTATCGTTGTGGTTCCAGTGTGCTTAGGATCTGCGCCGTGATCTCTGCCTCTGCAGATCAGTTCTTTCATATAGTCTCTGATGCTGGTTGTACTGGGTTGATTGTTGTATTTAGGTTGAGATTATAAATACTTTTAAATGAGGTTCACTGAGCTTGTGGCTTGCCCCAGATTAGAGCTAATGAATAGGATATCAAGCCCAACTCTGGGTCTTCTGCTTTGTACTGTTCTCTTTCCCTTCTGCTCAAAAACAGTTAGCACTGTTTACTCCGGTCATTGAGAAGGACATTTTGGCCCTAGCCCATTTGGCTCAGTGGATAGAGTGTTGGCCTATGGACTGAAGGGTCCTGGGATCGATTCTGGTCAAGGCACATGCCCAGATTTCAGGCTCAGTCCCCAGTAGGAGGCGTGCAGAAGGCAGCCAATCAATGATCCTCTCTCATCATTGATGTTTCTATCTCTCTCTCCCTCTCCCTTCCTCTCTGAAATCAATAAAAATATATATTTTTAAAAAAGACATTTTGTATATCTTGGTCAAAAAGACAGAGAAGTAATTGTACATTTCAGAAATAGTTTCACCCAAAATTGTTAACTTTGAAAGCTTTCTGAAATCTTAACCTTTCAGAAAACTAGTTCATGAGGGTTCCATAAAAATACCTAATAGGTTCTGAGATTACGTAAATGTGTTAGTTTTTAAATCAGTTGCACTTCCTGGTGCAGAATATAAATGAACATTTCAAAAGCGAACGTGCACTCATAAAGTGCAACCTTATGTAACCAAAAAGTAACAAATAATTTTAATTCTGCCTTAAGTTTACAATAATTATTACCATTTTATGTTTGTCTTGTAGGGGGATCTGTGGCTCATTTGCTCAGTAAATATGGAGCCTTCAAGGAATCAGTGGTCATTAATTACACTGAGCAGTTACTCCGAGGCCTCTCCTATCTCCATGAAAACCAGATCATCCACAGAGATGTCAAAGGTAGGGATTTCTTCATTGTTGTTCACCAGCAATAAATAGAAAACAAATGTAATTTTAAACTTGGACCTTTGCTGCTAGTTTCAAACGTAAAATCAACTAGAGGACTGTTTCTCCTGAGTCACTCAAATCATCAGACGTGAAGGAATCTTCAGGGTCACATGACCTGACTTCCTCAGAGAGGCTGTAACTTTTCTGAAGACAACTGATGGGAAACTACATACAGAATCGGCTCTCCAGTCCTGGTCTTGATCTTATAATGTACTGTCTCCCCAAAAGTTCCTGTTCCCGGTTTTATTTAGAATAATGGCAATATTATAAACTTTCAAGAAAAATCCTTTCCAGTCTTTTGCAGTTTAATTAACAGCAGCTTTGATTTTGACATAATATATTCAAGTAGTTTAATATTAATTTTATTAAAGCTGTAATTATGAAACTACAGTAATTTGAATTGGTCCAGGTTAGTATGTTTCAACAAAATTTTGTTTGAAAATATAAATGATGCTAAAACTTGAACTTTGAGGAAAGATTTTTGTTGAGAATCATTCTTTTTTTCTTTTCTTTTTTTTAATCCTCACCCAAGGATATTTTTCCATTGATTTTAGAGAGAGTGGAAGGGGAAGGGAAAGACAAGAGAAATGTTGATGTGAGAGACACATCAATTGGTTGTCTCCTGCAGGTGCCCCAATCAGGGCCTGGGCTGGGGAAGAGCCTGCAACCGAGGTACATGCCCTTGCCGGAATCAAACCCAGAGGCTTTGGTCCACAGGCTGACACTCAATCCACTGAACAAACCAGCCAGGCAGGGAATCATTCTATTAAAGGTTCAGCACTTACCTGGTTTCCCTGGACCTCTGCCTGTTTCCTTGTGCCTGGTGCTCTGTCAGCTGTCCCACTGAGGCTGTGGTTGTGTTTACACTGCGGTGACCTGTGTGTCTGGCAGGAACGAGTGAGCAGAGAGGGGGAGTAACCAAACCTGTCATGTGATCCACTTCTCGTCTTTGTCTCCTGTCGTCATAATATTTTACAGAGTGTGTCATCTGCCCTTTGGTGTTAACATACACACTCACTTGCTGTTTTTGTCGACAGGTGCCAACCTGCTCATTGACAGCACAGGTCAGAGACTGCGAATTGCAGACTTCGGGGCCGCAGCCAGGCTGGCATCAAAGGGAACTGGTGCAGGAGAGTTTCAGGGACAGTTGCTGGGGACAATCGCATTTATGGCACCTGAGGTGAGAAGCAGCTATAGTGTGGCAGGAGAAAATATACCAAATTAGTTTGCAGTGTTATCCAGTCTGTGCTTACCAGTTAGAAGCCCAGGACTCTAAGCATGAGGCTTTAATGATATCCTTAATTTCAAACCCTAATCCCTGCCTTTCCATCTTGTCTTAACAAAATTTTAAAAGATACGTTTTAATAGAGTTGCTTGAAGGCTATTTCTAACGAAGACTTGATGGGTAATTGATAGCAGTTGTTTGTAGTAAACAAAGTACACCTGTTAGAGACTTTTTACATTACTCTCTGTGCCAGAGGGAGGTGAGCAGAGGTAGGTCCTCCTGCAGCAGAGGAAGAATAAGCAAGCGCTGCTGTTGCTGCTCTGAATTTGGCCTCTGCTTCCTGGTGCTCACACAGTGATTCTCGCTGCCCCCTTGCCCTATAACTTACTAAGTGCACTGAGCAGCACTGAAATTCTGTGATTACTCATGACTCTTCCGGATCTCACAATCCTCTAAAATATCTGTGCCATATCAATTAATAAGCTTTTTAATGAAGTAAATGAGACATCAGATCATCCACAGAGTTGCTGTTTGTACCTTTTGCTCTGAAGTGAAAAACTAGAATCCTAACTACAGGGTGGCTTTCTGTTTTTTTAAGTGAAGCTCCGCTTTCTTTTAGGTCCTCCGAGGTCAGCAGTATGGGAGGAGCTGTGATGTGTGGAGTGTCGGCTGTGCCATCATAGAAATGGCTTGTGCTAAACCGCCTTGGAATGCAGAGAAACATTCCAATCATCTCGCTTTGATATTTAAGGTAATTATGAGATGAAAACTATTTCTTTCTGCTAAAATTGGCAGCAAGCAGATACTCATGGTTTCTCCTTAACTGTCAGTCTGACACAAAGGCACACCTTTCCTCAAATAACTGTGTGCACACCTGTAGAACCGCCTGTGGCAGACAGCCAGGCCTCACTCCTCCAGTCAGGGATGTTCTGTGAAGATGTTGGGGACAGTGGATTAGCAAACACTGAGCCATTGCTCCCAACTGGAATAGGCACATAGATATCCCTGTCAGACTTGCAAATTTTAAAACTTGAAACTCTTCACATACTGTGTACAACCCATGTGTTTTCTAGATTCCAATTTACTATTTTCTACATTTTAAAAACCTTTGCCCTGGCCAGGTTGCTCAGTTGTTTCAATACTCCAAGGCTGCAGATTCAATCCCTAATCGGCACAAAAAGCAACCAATGAATGCATCAGTAAGAACAACAAATCAATGTTCCTTTCTCTTTTCACCTTCGCCCCTTCCTCTCTCTCTAAAATCAATTTTAAAAATTTTAAAAAAAAAAAGTCTGTTTCCAAATCCTGTCTTCTACCTTTCTGACAGTTCAAGTCCATCCTGTTCATTTCCACCAGAGATCAGAGCAGTGGTTCAGATTGTTAGCTTTGAGTCGGCCAGGTTCCTGGGTAAAAGATTGGGCTTGGGAGTCACACAGACCTATTCCAGCCCTGCTGGTAGCCACGGAGCAGGAAAATTCCTTGTCCTATCTGCCGTTTTGTTGTGGTTTGTTTATAAGGTAGGTGTGATACAGCACCTACTTCCCCGGACTGTGATGAGGACACGGAAAATGAGCCCTAGGCCTGAGGAAAGCACCCAACACACACACACACATTCACTCCTGGGCGTGGCCTCTGCCTGTCCTCCCTCATCTCCTGTCTTCCTTGGCTGCCTGAGGAAACCAGGGCAGGGTTTCTGATGCTCTTAGTGACTGGCAGGGCTTAGTCTTTCTCACTCTCTGAAACAGTAGACCCTGCAGGAAGCCTCGGGGACAGCGTCTAGGAGAGCAGGTTCATTGAGTGAGCACTTTACCTCTGATTATTTGGATGCACTTTGCCTTGCATTCGAGACAGTAAGGAACAAAGCAGATCCACCTGACCGGATGCAGTTGATCAAGTTCTAATGCCCTAAAGCACATGTGTCAAACACAAGGCCCTCGGGCCAAATCCGTCCCGCCAGGCCTTGCAATGTGGCCCGCACCGCGCTGTCATCACTGCACTCCGCTGCGTTTCCATCACAGTGACAGTTTATGACTGTTCAGTAAACCATTCGGCCCGTGATTTAGGCTGGATTTTAGATTTTGGCCCCTTCTCTGATTGAGTTCGACACCCCTACCCTAAAGTTTGAAGGATTCTTAGATCCTTCCATCCAATGTCGAGTTTCTGCCTCACACCATTAGCAGTGTTCCCTCTGGTTTGCCCCTCCATGCTCTTCTGGGTCAGGAGTCCCACTTGTTTCTCCCACAGATCGCGAGTGCGACAACCGCCCCGTCGATCCCATCACACTTGTCTCCCGGGTTACGCGATGTGGCTCTTCGCTGCTTAGAACTTCAACCTCAGGACAGACCTCCGTCAAGGGAGCTGCTAAAGCACCCGGTCTTCCGCACCACGTGGTAGCCAGCTGTGCAGACGGATGCACAGAGACAGATGCTCAGTGAGAGGAGCACGTCAGTGGGAACCATGGTGATAATCCGCTGGCCTTCCTGCCACTGAACAGCTATGAACGCGCCCCATGGCGAGCCCTTACCTAAGTATGTGATTGACAAATCATGTCTGTACCTAAGCTGAGTCTGCACCTGTGCCGAACTGCAAACCGTGCCTTTCAGGGACTGGCCCTTGGCGACAGGACAGCAAGGAGTTTGCATGACTAAGTAACATAAGCATAGTTTTATGATTATTTCTCTTGGAGCACTTTTTCAGCAATATTAGCAGCTGAGGGGCTCAGGATCTGTTTCACTGTCTCAACTACTCTTCCATTTCGTATTGCAATCATAAGCAGGGGTCTGCTTTCATGCAGTTTTTTGTCACTGGCTATATAAATCAGTATCTGCCTCTTTTTAGGTCAGACTATGCTATAATTAGCGGTAAAGAAATATATTTTTTAAAGTTGATAACTTCTTTATGACCCACAGTTGACCTCTATTTTTTTAAAAGCCTGGACAATTGTGGCTCATTGTGCATTTTACTGTTGGCCCATTCATTTCTTTTTTGGAAATTATGGTTCTATGTTTTCATTTCACCTTCATTTTTTGTTTAATATTCAGGGAAAGGTGATCTTTTCAATCCAGAGGAAAAAAAAAATAGAACTAAGTGTGAACTAGAGTTTGTTGAATATCTTGCTGTGGCAAGAGTTTTTTAATACAGAATTTTGTTTTTTTTAATTGGGTTTTACTACTACCTTCATTGAGTCCATCACTGCTCTCTGGTGCAGGCTAAACGTAAATTCAGAGAAAAGCAACTGTTCTCAGTGAAGCAGCGAGCCAAGATCAAGGTTACCTTGGAATCGAGTTTCTGTAATTGGTTTCATTTGTAGGAAGCTTCACCATCTAAGTCTCACTCGTGTGGAAGTCGCCACCGCTGTGAGCGAGGAGCTGCTGTTTTCCTTCTCTTCACAGGTGGCCCTGGTGGAGAATGAAAGAAAAATTAACTTCATTCCTCAACCACCAATGAGTGAGAGTGTTTTTAAACTAGAAGTTTGCTTTGAACTTGGAAAATGTCCTCATAGAAAAGTGAACTGAATTTCCATTACAAACTAATTCACTGGATCATGCACAATTATCTAATGGTTTTTGTCTCAGTTTAATTCAAATCCTGAAGGAAAATGGCAGCTCTTTATCCTTTTTTGTGAGTCTCTAAATCAAGTACTGATTAAGTTTTAACTCTTCAGAAGCCAGTTGAATCATGGTGGGATGATAGAATTGGTTATTCTCAAAGACTCAGGATAAACTAAATAAGCTACACAGATTGCATTTTAAATGTACACCACAAATTGGAAGTCACAAATAACTTACCAGGTAAGTTTGCAGGGATATATTGCATATAATTTTTAAAAGGCAGTTTTTAAAATGTGAATGTGTTTCTTAGTGAAATTTTACATTCCTTTGTTTTGGAAGATTGGCAATATTTGAAGAGTTAAAAATAGTACCGAAATGTGAAGTTTGGTAGCTCTAAATGTGTTGTACTTGACTTTCTTTTTTATTTCCTTTTTTTTGACTACTTGGCATTTTCGCAGTCTAATGAGATTGTTTCGAGTCCCACGTGCAGGCTTTAAAGGATGCACTCTTGCCATTTTATTACTGGAAGATCACTGGTCAGACGAATCTGGTCTGACAGCAACTGTAAACTGTGTACACTGAGGAACCGCAGCGCATCAGTATTACTCTGCAGATCACCATGCCGCCAGAGTGCGAGCTGAGACAGCGCGGCATGTCGAAGCCCATTGTTTGAGTGTGTGTGCAGTTCCCTCAGCTTGCTGGTAATTGTGGTGTTTTGTTTTTGTTTTGTTTTCAATGCAAATGTGATGTAATGTTCTTATTTTCTTTGGATCAAAGCTGGACTGAAAATTGTATTGTGTAATTATTTTTGTTCTTAATGTTATGTGGTACTCAAGTTGTAAATAACGTCTACTGCTGTGTATTCCAGTTTCTACTACCTCAGGTGTCCTATAGATTTTTCTTCTACCAAAGTTCACTTTCACAATGAAATTATATTTGCTGTGTGACTATGATTCCTAAGACTTCCAGGGCTTAAGGGCTAACTTCTATTAGCACCTTACTGTGTAAAGCAAATGTTACAAAAAATCTCTGGGTTAAGAAAATTTGGCTTAAATGTATCCTTTGTTATTTTAAATATATCGAGATATTTTAATTAAAATTTTTACCCCATTGAACCAATTTTATAGTATTTGTACCTATTTTGGTGTTTTGTCTTTATAGTAAATAAAAGTTTTTGAACAAAAGTTGTTACTCTTACTTTGAAATAATTTCATACTTATAAGGAGATTGTGAGAACACCACAAAGAATTCTCATCTACCCAGAAGCCCTGCTTGGGTTGTGCCAGCTGCCGTTAGGTCCTTGAGAGCCAAAACAAGATCTCATGCTGCTCGTAGGTGTCCTGTTTCTTCAGCCTCATTCTGTCCAGAACTATTCCTGAGTTCTCCCTGACCATTGACATTATATACATCCACGTAAATATCTCCCAGTTCTAGACACCATAGGTCAAATTCAATCAGTTCTATTCACATATCTCTCGATATACTACAGCATTTAAAAAAAACAAAAACTTTTTTTAATATGGCATCTTTTTATAAAGCAGGACATCTGCCCTCCTTGTTCCACTTGTGGGGAGAATGAAGGCTCCCTCACGCCGTGTCAGGCACACTGGAGCACAGTGACTGCTCCATCTGACCAAAGAGATGATTTTGTTCCTGCTGCAGGAATGAATCAGAAACACACTGATCCGACCCTGCACAGCAAGAGGCATCACTGAGTAGCTGAGCTCAACAGCCTGTTCCGCGAGTCTAGGTTAAGTTTCTGTATAAAGGGCACAAGTTCGTCATTTTAGGAATATATTAACTGCAGGCCACATAGACTCGAACAAGGTTGGGTCTCATGCCCACACAAAAGTGCCAATGAGTGCGTCTGTGAACCGGTACAGCAATCCTGTACAGAGTAACTGCACCAACGCTGCCATCAGGGAACGAGTGACCAACAGAAACAGGAGAATGGCAGTTTTCCTGTCAGGACAGCTTTATAGGTTTACGTCATGATGACTGGACATTAAGGGAGGTGCTGACAGACCTGGTGGCCACTGAGCCTCAGACATGACCTGGGTTGAATCTGGCTCTGCCACTTGCCAGCCATGTAACCAGCCCGTGGCTTCTGGAACCTCCCTTTCTGCATCTGCCAGAGGAAAGGAACGCGTTGGGAGAAGAGACCTGATGTGTATGGCCAGGCCCAGCACACTGGGTGCTCAGTCCCTGCGTGTGTGAAGGTGTGTGACCAGCAGGGGGCAGACTCAGCCTCTGGAGCTAGCATCCCTTCAGAGAGGCTGATGCTGCCAGGTGTTGGGTGTTCCTTGCCAATTTGTGTCTAAGGGGCCAGGATGTCCATGTTGGAAGAGGGGAGGGGAAGGGAGCCGTGTTCCAAAGCCCCCAAATTTCCAAAAGCAGCTGGAAATCGAGATTTTACGTGCTATTTCCTGACGTTTAAACACTGGGAACGAACTTACTATGAACCACAGCACTAAATCACTCATCCGCTGGATCTGGCCTCTTTTTTACCTCTGACCTGGGTCCCGGCACGCAGAAATACGCCGAGAACTGGAGGGAACCTCGGCTTTGGGAGCCTGTTTCTCCTCAGAGAAATGGATGACTGAGAGGAGGGCGGGTGGAGGCGCTGGCAGACACCGGAGCGCGGGCCTCAGAACGTCTCGTCGCCACGAACGCCGGGTGGCCGGGCGGCGGACGGGGCGTCCGCAGCGTGAAGGGCCGCTGGGCGGGAGCCCGCTCATCCCGCCGCAGGTCTCTCCGGGGCCTGCGACCCCGCCGCCGGGCCTCCCGGCCGCCGCCACCACGGCCCCGCCGCTCCGCACCGCCCTACGGGCTGCGGGGCCGGCGAGGCGGGGAGCGCGGTCTGCGGGGCCCGCGGCCCTTCCCCCGGGCCGGGGTCCGTGCTTCTGAGCGCGCTTTCCCTCAGGGCCGGGTGCTCGGCGCGCTTCCTCCATAGCGAGGGCGGGAGGTGACACGGAGGAGGCGGAGGCGAGGCGGCGGGGCCTGACACTCACCAGGGCCTCGCCTGACCGGCCGGCCGAAGGCCGGGCAGCCCGGGCGGCTCCGGTGCCCGCGAGGAGACGGCCCCTCCCACCGCCGCCTCCGAATGGCCACAGGCTGGAGACCGCCGTCCAGCACCGCCCGCCGGCCGGGCCCCGCGCCGAGCCGAGGGCGGGACTCAGCGCCTCAGCCCCGCCCCTCCGGGCGCGCCCACGTCCGTCCGGGCGCCACGGGGCCGCCATGCCGGGCCGCCTGCTGCGGGGCCTGCGGCAGTGGTGGCGCAGCTACCGGTACCGCTTCGTACCTTGGATCGCGCTGAACATCAACCACAACCCCAGGTGAGCGGACGAGGCGGCCCGCCGCGGGCTCTCCCTCCCGCCCGGAGGCGCCGCCGCGGCCGCGCCCCCTGAGGCCCGCGGCCCCGGGATGGGCGGAGCCTCAGGCAGGCAGAGCTTCCGGTGGCCGCAGGCTTCGTGGTGGGCGGGACCTTATGTGGGCGGGGCTTCGGGGAGGAGGAGCTTCCGGCGGCCGGTGGGTCTGTGACACCACAGGCTCCTGGTGGGCGGAGCCCTAGGTGGGCGGGGCTATGACAGAACGCCGGTGCCGGTGGGCTGGGGCCGCAGGGGGCGTGCGGTTTTGGGTGGGCGAGGCCTGGGCCTATTTCCCATCGTACCCCGCGCTGCCGGGTCGCCCGGTTGGGGCCCCCCCGGGCGGTGTCACTGTTGTCCCTGGCCTTTGGCGCGGGCTGGCTTGCCCGGGTCTGGACAGAATATAGACACCTTTGGGAAAAGGGAAACGCCTGCAGCGTGAGGGTGCGCAGCCCTCCTCCTCCCGAGGTGTCGTTGGGAGCGGGAGCGCCTAGGGGAAGCCACGCCGAGTCGTTTACGCGGTGCGAGCTCCTCAGCCCCGCGGTGCGGGAACGGCTCGGAGTGGCGGGTGCGTAAAAAGGAGCCGAAAGACCCTGAAACAGCAGGCGTGTGGGGCTCAAACACGGAGCCGGCGGGAAGACGGGGTGCCGGGGGCGGGGTGACGCTTCGCTAAGTGGAAAGCGAGGGATGGAACCGGCCCCGGGGAGCCCACGGAAGCGGCCGGTAACCAGTTTTCAGTCCAGAAGAAAGAAGAAACCTGTTCCGGAGACGGAAGGGAGGCTGTCACCGAGGGCGCTCACTCCCACTCCCGCGGAGAGGGGCCGCGGAAGGGGGCACCTCAAGTTCGTGCGGGAGCCACGCCCGGAGAGCCGTCACGTGAGGCGCTGGCGGGGCGGGCGGCCACGTGACGGCTGTGCGGGAGGCCGCCCGCCCCGCCCCGCCGGCGCCGCCCCGCTCCCCGCCGGCGCCCCCGGACCGGCGGCCGCAGGGCCCAGCCCGGCTCCTGGCCCGGGAAACGGGAGAGAGGAGCGTGGGGGCCGGCAGCGCTCGGTCCAGGCCGGGCCTCTCCTGAGGCCGCCGCTCGGGATCGGGCCGGGACGTGGGAAGCCAGTAACGCCCCAAAGAGCCTCCAGGGCGCCCTCCGCTCCGCCCTCCGAGGCCGCAGGCTCGGGCGGACTGTCTCCTCCCGCAGGACCCGCCGGGACGTCCCGGGGAAGCGCGAAGACAAAGTGCTCGCGGACGCCGAGGTCCTGGCGGCGCTGCTGCGCGTCTTCCGGGCGCTGCTCGCCCACGACCTGCCCCGCCAGCGGGAGGTGCTGGCGGCGCTCCCGGAACCGGTCCGGTCCGCGTACCGACACCTGCTGCCGGACCGCGGGCCCCGGCGGCCGCACGCCCGGAGCCCGGAAGACGTTCTCCTCCAGACGCTGGGCTTCAGCGTCGCCCGCGCCGCCAGCTCGCTGGTGTCCGCCGGAAGGGGCGTCTTCGTCACCAGGGGGCTGGCACCCAGAGGCGCCGTGGTCTCCATGTACCCCGGTAACGCACCGCTCGCCCCCGGCCGGGACGCTCCCATAAACCTACGCCCCAAAACACAGCCGGCCTGCAACCCACACCGCGAGAATCTGCCTTGGAAACTCGGGTTTCCACGGGTTTTTAAATCCCGGTTTGGCAATTAGCTGCTAGTAACTCACCTTACTTTAGAAAGTACCCATGTGTACTTGTGGGGTACTCTTCTTTTAAGGATATTTTCCTACTCAGTGTTTACATTTAGGAGATTATGGTATGGCCTCCTCTGATCAGACTTCAGACGTGTTACTTAGAAAGCACCAGAGGGTAAGTCAGTTTGGTTTAGAAAAATGTAAAACAAAGGAGTTGGACATGGGAGATAGAACTTAAGTCACTAAATAGCCCCGGCTGGTTTTGCTTAGTGGATAGGGCGTCAGTCTGCAGACTGAAGGGTCCCCGGTTCCATTCTGGTCAGAGCATATGTCGAGGTTGTGAGCTCTATCCCCCGTGGGGGGCATGCAGGAGGCAGCCAATCAAAGATTCTTATCATTGATGTTTCACTCTCCTCCCTTCCTCTCTGAAATCAATAATAGGTACATATTTTAAAACACAAATACACACAGCAGCTCTGGCTGGGTAGCTCATAGGGTGAGGGTTAGGAATTACTCAGGGTTAGGGTTAGGATTAGCTAGGGCTGCAGGTGTGATCATACAAGAATCAACCAATAAATGCATAAATGAGTGGAACAGCATATTGATGTCTCTCAAATCAATTAAAACCCCATGATTGTACAACTGAATCTGAAATGTGTTCACATTTTTAACAACCCAGTCCTATTTCCAGCTGTGTGGGCACGTTGGTTCTGTGCTCTGTCTGCTATTGGGTCCTCTTCAAAGGGTGAAATTGCCAAATAGGATGTGATAGTCTAAGTTGGAGGTAAGAGATCAGAGAAAAGTTTGAGAAAACAAGTTCTTACATGTTATGTATATGTTCCAGAGAAAGGTCCTTATCATGGTGTTAGTGGGTTTTACATGTTGCTGTAATATCCCTTTGTCTTGTTGTATGACAGGTACAGTATATCAGAAATATGAGCCAATCTTTTTCCAGTCGATTGGAAATCCATTTATTTTTAGATGCTTGGATGGCGTACTCATTGATGGAAATGACAAGGGAATATCGAAAGTCGTGTACAGGTAAGTTGGTGCCTATCTTTGAACTTCATTATAGGGGACGAAACCACACAGCAATGACAGTGACCAGGAGCCTTGGTTGCCATCTTGATTGAAGTGATCTTGTAAGAGAAATTGCACTTTCTCAGTTGTAGGGTTGGTTTTGTATTTTTGAATTTTCGGATTTAGAAGAACAGTCCCTTGGCTGATGCTCTCACCTGTTTCAGGTCTTGCAGTGGAAGGGACCGACTGGGCCCTTTGAAAATGAGTGACAGCACTTGGCTGACATCAGAAATTCAGAACCCTCTGGCGGTGGGCCAGTATGTCAACAACTGTTCCAATGGTAAGTGGGCACCATGGGCTGAGAAAGACAGAAGCGGTACTTCCTTCACGGGCCACGTGACCGAGAGCCAGAGCAGAGGAGCTGAGCATGTCAGCTCTTCAGAGCCTTGAGTAAACACACACACACAGGCATCCCAAAAAACGTAGATTTCCATTACAAGATGAAATGCATTTGATAAACACTGCCCTTATAATTATTCAACGTGTATATGCATTTTGGGGGGACACTTTGTATATATGTTTTATACATATAAAACCCAGCAGTACCCAGAACATAATAGGGATTACTAACATGCACGTGTTCTCATGGTTTAGAGATCCATACAAGTGTCAGAATTCAGTGCTGTTTTCCGTGGCCTAGTAAGAGGGCTGTTTCTGAAAGTTACACACTCGTTCCTAGACAGACCAGCCAACGTCTGCTATCAGGAGTTCGACGTGCCCCCGAGTTTCCCTGTGGAACTGAAGCAGTACCTCCCCAACACCACCTACAGCTGCGCCCAGCAAAGGTGAGCCTCCCCGGAACCTGCCTGCCTTGTCCTGAGCTGTACAAAAAAGCATTTTGTCTAAAAAAAAAAAAAAAAGCTGTATAGAATTTGGGGTTCATTGTTTCTTTAGTGAAAAATGATAACTTAGATTTTTTTAAATATATATATATTTTATTGATTTTTTTACAGAGAGGAAGGGAAAGGAAGAGTTAGAAACATCGATGAGAGAAACATCAATCAGCTGCCTCCAAATGACAGGATTGGACCTAGCTGAAGGGGTCAAATTACACGTTGTTTCTTTTGCTCTTTCCACTATTAGATGTGGAAACTTGATCGTGAAAAAAGGAGTAGGCCAACTACACTTAAATTAAAAAATAAAATTTTTAAAAATAGTGAAAAAAGGGAAATACTCAGAAGATAACATTTTTATTGTAGCAATTTTCTGTCCATTAAGTCTACTGAGAATACTCAAGTTTTCTTTTTTTTCAAGTAACAGGGTTTTTTTTGTTTGTTTGTTTTTATTGATTTTTTACAGAGAGGAAGGGAGAGAGATAGTTAGAAACATTGATGAGAGAGAGTCATCGATCAGCTGCCTCTTGCACAGCCTCCACTGAGGATGTGCCCACAACCAAGGTACATGCCCTTGACCGAAATTGAACCCAGGACCCTTCAGTCCACAGGCCAACGCTCTATCCGCTGAGCCAAACCAGCCTCGGCAAGTAACAGTTTTTAATAAATGATTCTGTGGAGTTATCAACAATGTGGTAGGAAAATGTAATCTTTATATCATTTCACTGAGTTGCCAAACTTAATTTTGTATGGGTCCTAATTGTCCTTTTAAAAGGAATGGTACTTAAAACTTAGTAACTTTACTTCGTGCGTGTGTGTTGGGTATTTGTGTTTAGTTTTCTTTAACATACTCTGGGGCATAATATGTTACTACCCAACCAGTACAGGAAACACTACATGAGTAGGAACATTGAAGATTATACCTCTTGTCCTGGCCAGTGGTTAGAATGCCAGCCGCACACAGGACGTTCAGTCTGGGGTTCAATTCCCCATAAAGGACACATACATGGGTTGCAGGTTCAATCCCCAGATCAATAGGACACGTGCAGGAAGCTGCTAGTCCAAGTGTCTCTCACATCAATGTTTTCCCTTTCTCTCCCCCTCCCACTCTCTCTAAAAAAAAAAAAAAAAAAAAAAAATCCATGGAAAAAAGTATCCTCAGGTGAGGATTAACAAAACAAAAAAGATCATGTCTTAGTGTGTCCATAAAAAGTATTTTTTAATCCAATTAATTTCAAGTAATGCTTCTAGCTTTGCAGAATACGAACATACAAATTAATTTTAAAATGCTAAACTTGCCAAAAGCGGTTTGGCTCAGTGGATAGAACATTGGCCTGCGGATTGAAAGGTCCCCGGGTTCGATTCTGGTCAAGGGGCATGTACCTTGGTTGCAGGCACATTCCCAGTAGGGGGTGTGCAAGAGGCAGCTGATCGATGATTCTCTCTCATTGATGTTTCTAACTATCTGTAAAAAATCAATAAAATTTAAAAAAAATGCTACTTATAATGCATACTGTTTTTAAATGCTTTTTTGCAATACCAGTTTTGAGGACCTGAGCATAGGTGTTCAGAAGTAATCACTTGTATAAACTCATTGATCTGCCCTAGCTGGTTCGGTTCAGAGGACAGGTGTTAGCCTGCGGTCCGAAGGGTCCCGGGTTCCATTCCAGGCAAAGGCACGTGCCCGAGTTGCAGGCTCAGTCCCCAGTCAGCAGGAGGCAGCCGATCAAGGATTCTCTCATCATTGATGTTTCTAGCTATCTCTCCCCCTCTCCCTTCTTCTCTGAAATCAATAAAAATATATTTTAAAGAAAATTAAAAAAACGAACCCATTGCCGAAACCGGTTTGGCTCAATGGATAGAGCGTCAGCCTGCGGACTGAAAGGTCCCGGGTTCGATTCCGGTCAAGGGCATGTACCTTGATTGTGGGCACATCCCCAGTGGAGGGTGTGCAAGAGGCAGCTGATCGATGACTCTCTCTCATCGATGTTTCTAACTTTCCCTCTCTTCCTCTCTGTAAAAAATCAATAAAATATATTTTTAAAAAAACAACTCATTAACTTGTGGTCTTTTTAAATGACATGTCATAGTCTCCATTTCATCACCTCCGTCAGGGATAGTAAGGCCTCAAGGAGATCAAGTGCATCCTGGAGAAGGCAGTAAGGAATGTGTACAGAATGACACAACGAACCCCATGCTGGTTAGGTTAGCTGGGCTGTCCCTGTCCGCACTGACTGGTGTTAACTGGGCTCTCCCCGTCCGCACTGACGGGTGTTAGCTCTCCCTGTCTGCACTGTCGGGTGTTGGTTAGCCGTGTTCTCCCTGTCCGCACTGACGGGTGTTGGGTTAGCCATGTTCTCCCTGTCCGCACTGACGGGTGTTAGCCCTCCCTGTCCGCACTGACGGGTGTTGGGTTAGCCGGGCTGTCCCTGTCCGCACTGATGGGTCCGTACTGACGGTGCCTCTTGCTCTCAGGCCCCTGCGCTGTGTTGTCCTCATTGCTCTCAGGGATGTCGGCCAAGGAGAAGAGCTTCTCTCCAACTACTACACCATTGTCCGCTGACTGAACAAGGAAGCGGTTCTTCTACTCGGTCCATGTTAGTATTTTGGTTAGTCATTTCTGAATTCCAGAGGAGGAACTTATTTCAGTTTTGTTTCAATCCCATGCTAAAAATCATTTGCTTAATTTCAATTTCAAATTCACAATGCAACTCCAATTTTACTTCATTTTCACCTAAATACAGTAGCTTATTAAAACCTACTGCCTGGATTTATAATTTTTCTTGTGTCCATGTACATGTGTGGTTTACAAAATTTTAGCCAATTCCTCAGCAATTCTTTTACTGTTGATGTATATGAACTTCTGAAAAATGTTTTTACAGAATGAAAACCAAACCATTTTTGTTGCCACAAGTTAATTGGTGTGTGTGTGTGTTGATTTAGCTGAGGGGGAAACTGGAGTAATGCCATTTTCTTAATTTGCACATTTACACAGATTAAAGCACCACGAGAGACTGTTTGGCATGGGAAGTCACGTCTCCATGTGGCGTCCCAGACACCAGTGTGAAGTGTCCGTTCTCTGTCAGGGCCAGGGCCTGGGAGACTCAGAGAGCAGCAGGCTCAGACGCCTGCCAAGGACGGCGACTGTGGCCCAAAGGGACGGGCCTGAAGTCACCGTTATCTTGCTCCGGCCTTGGAGGCCTCTCTGTAGCTCTCCCTTCAGACACGGCCGGAGGCAGTGTGCCTGAGCCTCCCTCACTGAGCTCGCTGGCGTCACGGGGGAGGGAATGTGGTTTTAGACCAGTAACCAGAGCCTGGGGTCAGGGCTTCGTTTCCGTTCTCCCTCTCCTGTCCTCACACAGAATCTGGACATCGTGTGCCATCTGACCGGAGCAGACTAAGGGAGCCAGAGAAAGCTCTGGTCAGAGCAAGTGCCGTAGGGACACCTGGGAGTTAGGCGGAAAGACCCTTAGTTGAAAAGGTGAAGGCCAGAGTCTACTGACTGTGACTGTTATGAAGAAATAGTGATGTGACCAAATTTCAGGTATCGTGTCTTCTTAAAAGCCACTTAGAACAGTGTCTAACACATCAAAATGTTCATTAAATATTTCCTGAAATTGTAATCCTCACTTTGGGATGGCTAGTATTATAAATGGAAATTTATTATAGAGAATTTACAGTAACTTTTTTGTCTACCAAATACCTTATTTACCCTATCTAAAACCAATTTCACAGTGGTTAAATATCTATGTGTGCGTTATAGCTTAAGACTCATTAAATAAAACCTATTTGTAGCAAATATTCACACAAGCCAAGAAAGGAAAAAAAGATTCCCAGATTTTTATTTCTGGAACTGTACAGGTATTAAAGTACAACAGATACAAAATAATGCTCAAAAAAATCAGTGTTTATGTACAAATATTAAAATCAATGCAACAATAGCAACTTCCTCTTGAATATCTGTTACTAAGACTTGTTCTGATTGTCACTAATTCATTTCATACTCAAGGGTACTTAGCTCAAACTGGGACCATTGGATCACTGGTTTTCTAAGAGGAATTTTAATATCTACCGTATTTAATAATAAAACTAATAGCTTCCTCCTTTTAGTGAAAAATTAAGAACTTTTTAAAAAACATAGTAATGTCAATATTCTTATAAATTATTTCAGTTTCCATTTGTAGACAATGTGCTTTGAAACTGGGCAAACAATCTCCGTGGTGGCCGGGGTTCCTCCATTAGTTTACATTCAGAGTTGAGTCACTGGAGACTTTGGTTAAATTCAATAGTTAAAATCACTCTGCTCTGTGAGAGCCGACGTCCTCAAACACTCAGGGCCCTCAGTCGTACAAATTAATAGGAAACAATTGCACAATGCTTTGACCTAATTGTACACACTTTAGTATCGTTTAAAAATTATTCTACATCCTTCAAGTAAAGTCAGCAGCTGACCGAGGAGAGCCGGCACCGAGCGCGGCTGCAGGAAGTATTGCTCTAGTCACAGCACCATCGCACCCACCGCTATCCCCAAGTCTCCACAGAAAGACACATCAGCCCACTGCAATCGCTCACCATGGATTTTTGGTTTGTTCGTATGAAAATAATGCAGCCAAGGGGGGGTGAGGAGGGGGAAAGAATTTATCACAGTTTGTTATAAGAATTGTGCTTAACACTTGATAATAAAGGCATTGTTATCTCTTCATATGATTGCAAATCGTTATCTTAACGCTCTCAAACGCAATTCTTCTAATAAACAGTAACAAATTCTGTGTAAGATGCTTCAATGGAGAGGGGGGAAACAGTCAATCCAGCTTTTAAAAGAAAATTCAATAAATAGCTATTTTACATGGACAAAGTGGTATCATGTATGTCACATCAAGCATGCACAAAAATGCTATTATACATGGCAGACGCAGTCAAAAAAATACGGAATCAGATCTAAAAAGACAGGAAGAATTTACACATATATACAGGAACCTTGCAGATTATTGCCTCATTTTCACAAGGAATTAAAAGTAAACATCGCCAGCCCGCCAGCACTCTCTAAGAGGCTGAACTAGCTTGGCATCTAAACATCTATAAACTAGCTGGAGTTTATGTTTCTCTCAGATCATTTTCTGAATTTTGGTCAAAAATCTTTATTCAGATAACATGTCCATTCCACTTGCTGATAATCAAAGCTTGTGGTGAGAAACACCGTTTCCGTCCTGATGGAGCCCCAGCAACGCGTAGCTGCACGACCAGAACTCGGCCTGGGCCTGAGCGTGCTCGCGCAGTGTGGCTGGTGTTAGCGCTCGGCCATCTGTGTAAATCGCCACACCCACCAGCCACTGTAAACCTCGTGAAAATTAAAGTCTGAACAATGGAAGAGGATGGCCAATACCTTACAAATCATAGCTGTACTGATTCTTTCCGCAAGAACTAAGGTCCAAAGCTAACACAAACTGACAGCTCAGATGGCCTGAGAGAAGCCTTCCCATGGCTGTGGTGTGCACAGGAACGCTGGGCTGCAGATGTATAAATTAGAGACTGTTTTAAAGTTATTAACTTCCTACTTCTGTCCACTGTGCTAAACTACATTTTATGGTAAATGTGCTATGCTGTGTAAACACTTCAAAGCAATCTTCATTAAAATGCTGCAAAGAAAAACAAGAATACACTTCATCCAAACCCAGGATGCCATTGCAGTTCACAGTCTGTGTAATAAATACCCTCCCTGCCCACACGGCTACGGTCACTACCATCTACCTACGCGCCAGCACCACCTTGAGGTGACGTAGATCACAGATCGGCAATGCGGCCACACATCTCAGCCACCTGCAAAGCAAGTCACTCGCAGAAACGGGAAACCCTAACAAAGGCGGTGCAAATAAAAAGGTACAAGTCTGTCTTAACTGAACTACCGTATAAAAGCAAAACTTGGCGCGTCCGAACACTGTACTGCGTGTGGTCACCTCAATGCAGGCCACGGCGCACGGCGGCCACGGTGCAGGACCACAGCTCGCCTCCGTTCAGGGATGTCCGGATGAACGGGAAACAGCTGAGCGCATCCAAGCACCTAAACCTGCTTAAGCCTAGAAGTGGTCAAGTACCGTTCTATTTCAGACAGTAACTCAAGTCAAACAAAACATGTGAATCTACTTGAGGTTCTCCCGCCGCCTGTGGAACCTCAACGTCGTTCCTCGGCACTCACACCGTACGGCAGCGCTGCCCGCGCCAGTCGCGTGAACAGGAGCCTGCCCACCAGCCACCGCCCCAGACTCCACGTCGATGGCGGTGTGGCTTTCTAATCACAACCTTGACAAGGATGGACAAGCCCTATCTAGGTACCACATCTTCAAATGCCCCATCTGTAGCCAACAAATGAAGTTCATAAATCTTCCGACAGTAACATCCGAGCACCGTCTGCGCGCAGCCCTCGCCAGCTCCGAGGTGGACGTGCTGTCTGTAAACGGAAGTGCTCTAGCTGAGGAACGTGAGAGAAGTTTCCACTTAAAAAACCCTTGCATGTCTGTGCAGTTTAAAGAAACCTACCCCTGCTTTTGCTTAATTAAGAAAACCAAAAAATGCTACATTTTGCAGGGATGAGGGTCGGCACCTGTAAACACTTATTCTGATGCATCCGTTACGGCAAAAGGACCTTACACGCGAAGACACCACTCCTTCCGTCCCGAACATGTGCTGGTTTTGAGCTGGTGGCCTGTCTACAGGCCTTAAACGTGGGAGCAAGAGACTGGAAGGGGGCGTGGTGGGCCTGGGAGGTGAGGGGGGAGAGCAGAGCTTAAAGCTGCAGAGTCCCACCTTCGCTCCCAGCTCTGCTGTTCACGGTTTTCCACATTTATGGATTGAGAAATGAAAATATTCTTGATAAATCAAGATAGAGTCTGTACATGCTGACATCACTGATGTCATAGTGAACACGTCCGAGCTTCCAGTGAAAGACTAAGCAGCCCAACGTGTCTGCGCACTGGGCTGAGGCCGCCATCACTCGGAGTGGAGGGCGGCGGGCGGGTGCAGGGCATGGGCACTGAGGAAGCCGTTGGCCTCGCCGGCAGACAGGCTGCCAAAGTCCGCCACGGACACGGCCATCTTGGCGCTGGCGATGTGGTGTGTGTGGCTCTCGAAGTCCACGCCTAGGCTGCTCACAGAAACCTCGCTCAGGAAGGGCTCCGGGACCGCCAGGCCCATCTTCAACCTCTTGGCTGGTCTCTCTGGCTCCTCACTGCACAGGGCCATGGGGTTGAGCTCCGAGTGGTAAAAGCCCGTCTCAAACAAGTTAAAGCAGTCGCTCTCCCCGTGGCTGGGCAGGGTGAGCAGCTCCTCCGTCGCCACGGGCACGGGCGTCACCGGGCCGCGGGGCAGGCTGCCCAGCGGGGGGAAGCCCTCGTCCAGGCAGCTCACGGACCCGGGGGTCGCTGCGCTGCCGGTCAGAGCTGGAAGGAAGGGGAGTGGAGGGGAAGGGAGGGGAGGGTTAAATGGTGTGAGGACGCCAAGGGGACTCCAGGCGAGCTGAGCACCAGGGCCCTCACCTGTCAGGTCGCCTGCGGAGAAGGAGTTGAGGATGTTCAGCTGCGGGTCAGAAACAGGCTCTGGGCGGCTGGCGGTTAAGACGGGAGAACTGACGGTCCCGCCCAGCGCCTCCGTCTCATCCACCAGGCGGTCCATGTAGTCCCTGGAAAACAGCCCCGTGAGCAGCACATCCGGAAGAGGCAGCCCGCCCGGCCTGAGCCAGCACTCACGTCACTCCAGGGTGGTGGTTGTAGCGCTTCTTCCCAAACCTCGTCTGCTGGGCGAAGTAGTCGTAGCGCTCCGACTTCTTCCACATGTAGTAGAACGCCACGCACTCGGCCACCGTTCTGGTTCTCACCTGCCCAAGAGTTGGATGTTTAAAAACAGACAGAATACTTATTACCTCTTTTACAACACCTGTAACTTCTATCCATGGAACATTTTCCATCCTCCCAGTTATGACACCCTGAAGATCTTATGAGTGAAATGGTAGAAGAGTAAGACTTTCTGAAATCCAGTAAATCCCTTTCTGAGTGGAGGACGCTGACTCGCGTCAAGAGGACTTGGGTGCCCCATCAGCCACCCCAGGAGTGGTGGCTGGGAGCAAGCCCCATGCTCAAAGCAGGAACGCGTGAGCAGGCTGTGCCTGTTTCTACACAGGTGACAGCAGCTCACAATCATCGCGATGACCAACAGGCTCTCTGTAGTCATGTGCCTGACTCACCTTGTTCTTCTGTATCAGATAAAAGTCTTTTCCAAACAGCATGAGTGCATGTTCAAAGCTTCGGCACTCCTCTTCTGTCCACACAGCCATTCCTTCTGAGGAAATTGTGAAATGAAATTCATTCGACTCAAAACACTTTTATACGAATCACTGACTTTCAGTATGTTTTCCATAGAAAAAGCCACACACACAGGTTCTATACGTCAGAGATTTCAGTTAGAATTACCGGTAAGTTGCATACCAGAAGTCTTACCGGAAGTCTAGGATACCAAAATACAAGCACTGATTATTTTTTCTGCATGGTGGGATAAGAATTGAATGTTTTTCTATAATTTATCTCACTGTTGGTCTGATTTTTTAAAACAATGAACATATACTTTAATTAGGAAAAATGTTTTACTTTATGGGGGGGGGGAAAGTCTTATTTTGCTCCTACATTAAAACCCTAAGGTTCTTTAATTAGACTATAAGATCAACACACATTTATTTACAGTCTGTCCTCTGGGAAGGAGAACAGCCATGCTCTCAAAGTCTGAACCCGTGAGGCTTCCAGGACGCCCCTACAGCTGCCTCCTGACACTGAGGCAGGACACTGACAGGCCATGTGACACAGGGACCAGGTCCCCACTGCCAGGCGCATCCACAGGTCAGATGAGACATACTCTGAAGTAAGGAGGGAGCTTCTACAAGGAAACATTCCAACAGACTGTCTGCACCTACAAGTCTCAATGTACTGTTCCTGACATTCCCAAGCCCTTTCTACAACCTCAGGAAGTGCTAGTTCTTCCTACGTGGTGACCGCTACGGGGCATGCCACCTGCTCCGTAATGACAAGCACTGAAATCAGTTCTGCATTTGACCAAGCAACACAGAGCCCAGGCCTGTGGAAAAGCCGGGACGGGGACTCATCTCGGGGGAACTGGAGAGCAGAGGCCAAGAGGAAACCACCATCCGCCGGGAAGACGGGCCAAGACCTGGAGGGACGCGCGGGCTCTGACCCGAGGCCGCCTGTCCCTGGCACAGTGCTCACCCTGAGAGGCCTTTCCGCTGCGGCAATGCCTCTCGACGGCCTCCTGCACGTTGTGGTCACACCGGAGCAGTTGGTACAAGGCCTGGGGAGTGGGAAACAAGTCAATAAAATAACACAAAACGCCGACTCAGCAGCATCCAGAACAAGTGAACAAAACCCCAGTGTTTCCAAGTGCTGCCAACACTGGCGAGAGGCTCTCTCTTTGGGACACGGGGGGAGATCTGCTCAGCCTGCAGCCTGATGGCCGTGTCCTAGGCCCTGCCCGTCATCCTCGACTGTTTCACTGCCTGGCCTCTCAACTGGGGAACCCCGTCCTACGTTACTTTTCTGGCTGGGAAATGAGAGCTCTGGTCCTACTCCCTGCCTTTGAGTGCTTTAATAACAGCAGCAGCAGGCCTGGTTAAGAGTGTGGGCACCTCAGCAAATGAGTTTACAATGGTCTCCGTCATCTTCATCCACCATCAAGTGTCGCTTTTTAAAATTAGGATTTCTTCCTATTAATAAGCCTGTTGGACATTATGAATATACTACCGGTAAATAGAAGCAAACAGGAACTACAAGTTAATACTCCACCCTCCCACGTAAGATTCAAGAAAGGAAAGGATAGCTCAATATTGGTAAGCCTATTAACATATAAAGAAGTTAATAATCAATGCATTATCAATCTCAACAGCTGCTAAAAAAAAGCCTAAGATAGATTCATGCCCATTTCTAATTTAATAACAGCAGCAGCAGCTATTGGCGGTGACCCCAGCTCACAGTCCTGACGACAGCTGTGGGCCAGGCTGGTGACACTCCTAACATCCAGGCTAACAGCAGGCCTGGGGGCCGGCCTGGCCACAGGAGCCTGGAAAACCATTGGGGGAGGCCCTGCCAAGGCAGGGGTGAGTGAATTAAATGTCTGGCCGACAGAGCAGGCGGACGGTTGAGCTAATCATTCTGTGGCCCAGAGTGAGGTTTAAGTCTCCCGCCGGCCTTGGCAGGAAGGTCCCCAGCCCTGCCTCAGGCGCATCACCCAATTTAAAAGTAACGCATTCCTCTACACAGACAACCTTTAACTATAAATATAACAGATCCCATTTGTAATAGCACTGAGTGCATACATACTTTAAAAATATTGAAGAGTTAAGTTAATCAAATGCATGTCATATTCAAATAAACAAAGACATCTGAGTGATAAAGTCCAAGTAAATGGAGAATCACAGATCATACTCTTGAAGTGTAAGGGCTAATGTGTTAAAGGCACTAATTCTTCCAAAAACTAATTTGCAGTTTTAATGGAATATGAGCACAAAACCCAACGGGAGTTCCTTTGACGGCCAATAAAACTCCCCTGAAGTTCAGCTACTGTGACCTCTCTGCTACTTGGGAACAAGTCTAAGCCCCCACCCCTGGGTGCCATTGGTCAGGATCCCGGGGGCTGGTGGGAAAAGGTGCCTGAGGGGCAAAACAAGGGTTTTCAAAGGGTACTTAATGGGCAATACTCCCACTACCCCACCCAACCAGGAGAGTGAAGCTCAAGAATAAACTAAAAGGTCCAGAATGTCCAAGCGATGTTACTCCTCCAGGACGGAGCCCAGGCATTAGGAATGAGGTCGTCAAGAATTCTCAATGGCAAGCAAAAATAAGATGAAGTGACTAAAGAATATTAAGCAGTCCCTAAAGTAAGACAGGTGTGTTATGTACAGAAAAAAGACCAGGAAAGAAACGAGCAGGAGGACCAGTAGATCTGAGACATCCAGCCGACGTGAGAAGCACCAGCCTCACGGTAACCAGCCGCCGAGCAGAAGTGCCGCTGTGTCCAGAGGTGCATGCCCACCTGCTCACTGTCCCTGACAAGCGCGCCGGCAGAAGCCCTGTCCACCATCTTCTCGTTCCCGGTTCGGAGTGCGGCCTCCACCAGGTACTCCTCCACCTGGCTCTCTGCAACCACGCCCGGACGCCAGAGGAGCTGGTCTCCGTCCTCAGACTCTGAAAGGAACGTCAGGGGAGGGCAGTGAGCACAGGAGCCAGGGCACGTGCTTCTCCTTCCGCACGGGCGCCAGGACGGGGTCACGCAGGCCCCCGGCAGCGGACGGGCTGCCATGGAGCCGGCTCCAGTACGGTCCGAGCCTCCGTCACTGTGTGAAGAACCAGGGCTCCGCGGCTGACGGAGGAGCTGGGGCTCATTCCCTCAGAAGACGGGCGTCATGCCGTCTCTCCTGTGAGGAGGCGACCTCCACGCGGCACTCACAGGACAGGTGCACGCACAGTGTGTGGGTGGCGGCGGGGACTGAAGCCGACCTGCTCGTGCCTGCTTCCCGGGCATCTGGCCAGCACTCTGCAAAGGCCTGGGGAGGGCGGCCAGACCTGCCTCCCTCTCCCGGCGGACAGCCCGTGTAGTTTCGTGGCAATGACTCCACAGGACGAAGCAAGGCGCTGGGAGAAAGGCCAGTCCGTGGCCAACCTGCCTGGTCTCCACAGTCAATGAGGAAGGCACAGCTCTTTACTCCCCACCTCACCCTCCACACTGTGAACCAATGACAGCGGCATCTGGGACAGCGTGAAGAGAATCATCACACACAGGTGGGTGCACCACACAGAGCAACCTTCCAGCCACACCTGCCCTCGAGCGCTGGCCGAGGCCTCTGGGCCTCGTCCCGAGAGGATCGTCTCTGCCATCCTCGGGGACAAGACGGACCAGCGTGCGGAGCTGGACGGGTGCAGAGCAGGATGCAGGCCGCCAGTCCTGAGCACGCTGGCCGAGGAGGCCGTCCAGGCCAGTGCTACTCCTGACCAGCATTCCTATGCCAGCCCCATGTCCCAGTTCAAGCCCATCTTTGCATCACCAAGACGGGTTTCCCATCAGACATTTAAGTAAGCCCATGAACGGTAGCCTACAAATATTATAGAAATCAAAAGCCTCCTTACCTTCCTCATTATCATCATACTCTCCAAGGTAAGGGGGGATCTCAGCCTGATACTGTAAACCAATCATTATTTCCTGTAGGAAAACCCAGAAGTAAAAACAACATATAAAAATAAATTTCCAACTCATTACTTGGTTACTGCAGATGAAAAATCCTCATCATGTAATAACAAAATTTCAAAAAAAATTTTTTTGAGAGGGAGAGGAAGGGAGAAACATGGATACAAGAGGCCAATATCGATTGGTTGCCCACTGCACACACCCACACTGAGAACTGAACCAGCAACCTGCGTACGTGCCCTGACCAGGAATGTACGACACTCAACCAGCTGAATCACACTGACCAGAGCCCTGGCCTGCAGACCAAAGGGTACTGCTCTCCATTCTCATCAGGGCACAGGCCTGGGTTGTGGGCTCCATCCACAGTAGGGGATGCAGGAGGCAGCTGATCCCTGAGTCTCTCATCATTGGTGTTTCCATCTCCCTCTCTCTCTCTTCCTTCCTCTCTGAAATCAATAAAAATGTATTTTTTAAAAAGGTTTTAAAAACATTCAATACTACTTCAATACATTGGTCCAAATAGCCCACTAAGATATGGCAACGCAACTTACCTTCCTCAGATCTTCAGGTGAGTTACCATTGTCTGCTTCAACATCTTCAGTCTCTGACTCTTTATCTCCGTCACAAGTAGTATTTGCTGAGGAGAAGAAAATCAAATGTGTAAAAGGTTTTTATTGGCTGTTTCTGTAGCGTCTGGAAGAGCGCTGGCATGTGGAATTTACTGAAATTTGCTGAATAACTGAGATCAGCAAGATGATCCTAACCCCTTGTGCTTCTCCCATTTCTGACACATCAAAGCCAGCCCTGCAGCGGCCCCAGCAGGGACAGCAGTGTGCAGGTGTCTCTCAGCTGTCACTGAGCGGCTCAGGCACAGGAGCCATAGGAAATGAGCAAGCTGCACAGAATAAATTATTTCTGTTTAAAGACCTTCTAAATATTATTGGTAAATATTAAGGGATAACACAAAAATAAAAGGAAAGAAAAGGAGTAAGTAAATCACTAAAAATAAAAAATGCGCTGAAACTGGTTTGGCTCAACGGATAAAGCGTCAGCTTGGGGACTGAAGAGTCCCAGGTTCGATTCCGGTCAAGGGCATGGACCTTGGTTGCAGGCATATCCCCAGTAGGGGGTGTGCAAGAGGCAGCTGATCGATGACTCTCTCTCATCGATGTTTCTAACTCTCTCTCCCTTCCTCTCTGCACAAAATCAATAAAATATAAATAAATATAAATAAATAAATAAATAAATAAATAAAAAATATTAGCCCAGCTGGTGTGGCTCAATGGTTGAGCATCAACCTATGAACCAGGTCGCAGTTGAGGGTTCAATCCCCAGTAGGGGGCGTACAGGAGGCAGCCAATCTATGATTCTCTCATCATTGATGTTTCTCTCTCTTTCCCCCTTATCCCTCTCTCAGAAATCAATAAAAACACATAAATTTCTTTCTGAGCAACTGATAGTTTTCAAAACCAGGGGAGTGAGGGCTATTTTATTTTTTAAATTTTTTATTGTTGAAAGAGAGGAAGGGCTTTTTTTAACTGAAGTCCAAAAAATGCCTATAAGGTACATGGTGGAACTAGGGTTACCATAGCAATAGAGGAATCCTGGGAAAGAAAGCAGCCTTGCAAAATACGCAAATGTTTTGATTTTCAATGAAATAGTAGCTGACCTCTATCCCAATAATTATAATAGCATTTTATGTCCATTATAAGTTGACTTGGAATATTTTGACAAACCACCGAAGACAATACAAGTACGTAAGCCCCAGCAGCGTCCCGCCCGGCGGCGAGGGCGGTTCTTACAGCGCAGCGGCCGCGGGAAGAAGTCGGGGGCCTCGTGGGACGTCACGGATGGCGTCAGGTCGTCGGCGGAGGACTGCGTCTCCTCATCGTCCCCGGACAGCAGGTCCTTGGCTATCTCCTCCTGCGAGGACAGAGTGCAGAGCTGTCAGCAATCACCCACCCCAGCTTCTGAACTGTCTTTCGACATTCTTCATAAACATTACTGTGGTGTTATGACATAATTAAGAACGAGTGGAAGCTCCCTTAGTTTTGAGAATTTGAAATTCTGTAATTTATGTCATGTAAATATTTAATACTATTAAAGACTTAGTCCTACAATAACCATACATTTACAACACTTTGCCTTATCTGAAGCTGCAGGCTAGTTTTCAGTCACTATAAAACAAAACAACTTAACTTCTAAGTGGTTAATTAAAATCACTTTCTGCCAAAATAAATATATAAATAAGTAGTAGCCTGCCCTCAGTATCTGAGGTTTCGCATCCACAAATCAACCCACTGAGATAAAAAACATTTGGGAAATAAATAAAAAAGAGGGGGGCAGGTCCCGGGTTGCGCGCACACACACGCACTGCCCGCAAAGGCTGTCAGTGCTGAACCCCGACTTTTTTCACATCGTTTTCCCCAAACAAGCCAGCACGCTCCAGCGGTTCCCACAGCACTGGGTCTGACAAGTGCCTGGGCTGATGGGTGTGCCATCTCACACAGGGACTAAAGCATCCTGGGTATTTCTATTTGTGGGGACCAGATCCAACCCCCACCCGCCCAACAGACACTGAGGGGGGACTTCCAAACCAGCCGGGCCTCCTCGGCCCCTCCCGCAGCCCGGAGCCCGCTCTGCGGGAGCATGCCGTGGAGCGCGGCGCAGTGGGCGGTCACGTGCTGTGACAGCGACACTCCGTGGCTGCGGGACGCCGTCACGAGGTCTGTGGGCATTAACATCACATTTGCTGAAAAGGGGGAACGTGACTCACAGGAAGAGGTTCCAAGATGTGGATTCCTCTCCCTGCCTGAGCTCGGAAAGGCGAGGGACGCTTCCCCGGGATCTGTTAGCAGAGACAGTGGCTGTGAATCCTCCTCAGCGGACAGGCTCCCCAGCCAGCCTGCAGACGCGTCCCCGAGCCTCGGCCGCTCGGCCGCTGTCCCTCGCAGAGCCCAACACGCAGAGCTTCTCGCCAACCCTCCCGCCTGAGCCAGCTGGTCTGAAGGCTTCTGGGATTTACTGATCAAGGCAGTCAAGTGTTGGCAGGATCCACAGAGGTTAGGACAGAATCTAAGTTCAGGCACACACGTCGACAGGAAAGATGGGAAACATGGACGAACACTGAAACATGCAAAGTCTTGTGGAGCCACTGCTTTTAACGTAGCACGATCGAGGCCCGACAGGACGTAAACCATCACAGCGTGAGGTGGGCAGTGGGCCGAGGAGTCCCCACCTCAGATTAGGGACTCCACTGCGCTCAGGAAACGGGAATGTCAGTGCCACAGCCCTGGACTGCCTCCTGGGGATGGCACTTACCTTGTCCAGCGTCATGTCCGGCAGCTCATCGGCAAGTTCGCTCGGGGAGCTGTTGGCACTGGGCTCCACCACGGCGGGCAGCGTGGGCTCGTAGCCGTAGAAGGCCAGCAGGTCTTCCAGAGGCATGTTTCCTTCCTGCGTGGCAGGGCAAAGGGAGCTCAGGGCAAGCCCACAGCCAGTGCCCCCACCGTCTGTTCATCAAGCCCCTGATCAAGAGCATCGAGTGACAGGGTCACAGGCCTGCATGAGTTTTCCTTTCTGTTCTGCTGCCAGAAAGCAGCCTCGGCACCAGCTGCTGTCAACGTGCTAACAGAAGCCTTACACTTAGCTTCTCCTTTCCACTTTCTAGCTCCACTTCACTTTCTAAGGAATTCCTCAAATATTTGCTTTAATATAGTTTTTCTCTAGCTTTCATACCTGCATGAGGATTTGCCTTAAAAACATTTCCAATCAATCAATCACTTCACATAACTTTCAGCTTGTTTCCTTGCAACTGAAAGCTTACCACCTGGTTTATCTGCATGTTAATTGCAAGATTCCTGATGGGAAGCTCTTGCTGAGCATTTACTAACACCAACAATACTTATCACTAATGTTCACAACACAACGATCCTTCTAAATTCCTACTGTGCACCTGTTTGTCTTCTACACCAGCTGTATTGGTTTTGTTTTCCTGAACCTCCCAGTGAAATCGGTATTATTGCCACCACCCGACAGATGAGAAACTGAAGCTTCACTCTGGGTTCGAATCCCAGGACCCCCAGAGCTCTCTTCCTGGCCATGCCCCAGTAGCCCCTTCCCGATCCCCCAACTGACCCATCGGAAACAGTGTCCACATGAGCTGTAAAGCACAGCTTGAATGGTATTGGTCCGCCTAAACGTGGGTTTTTCCCAATATACGTACTGGAAAAACTTTTTGGAGAGTTGTGACAACTTCTTAGAAACTTTCAGACAAACCTTATAGTTTTCTTTTCTCCTACTTACTTAATTACAAGAATATAGTATATAACATACTCAATATGGGTTAACTGGCGATGTGTATTATCATTAATGCTAAGTAGGTTATCAGTGCCCTGGCTGGTACTGCTCAGTGGATGGCGCATCGGCCTGCAGACTGAAGGGTCCCAGGTTTGATTCCAGTCAAGGGCACATGCCTGGGTTATTGGCTCAATCCCCAGTGGAGGTGTAACAGAGGCAGCCAATCAATGACCCTCATCATTAATGTTTCTATCTCTCCCTCTCCCTTCCTCTCTGAAATCAGTAAAAATATTTTTTTCAAAAAGAGTAAGTTATCAGTTAAGATTTTGGGGAATCAAAAGTTACAATGGATTTTCTACTGTGTGGGGATCAGTGCTCCTAACTCCACAGTGTTCAGGGTAATTTACTAAAGTATATAGAACTACTTATAATTTTTTAAACAATTTTAAAACAATCTATTCCTGGACCAGTTGTTACATAAACTGTGGGTACAGGGAATGGGAGAGACACACCAGGAAGGATGGTATGGGGCAAAGGCTGAGCTCCACCTGGAGTCAGAAGGCGTGCCCCGGACTTGTGGTGTCCGCAGACGCTGCCCTGCACCACGAGGCCCTGTGTCAGTGTGGGGACACAGTCAGGTCTTGCCCTTCCACTGCTTATAGCTTCGGGGGCACATTAAAGATGCCAAACAAGAAAAAGGGTATGAAAACTCAAAAGATTAGCCCTGGACGGTGTTGCTCAATGGATAGTGTCGGCCTAGGGACCAAAGGATCCTGGGTTCTATCCTGGTCAAGGGCATGGACCTTGGTTGCAGGCTCCTTGGGCCCTGGCCAGAGGTAACCAATCGATGTGTTTCTCTGATGTTTCTGTCTTTCCTCTCTCTTCTCTCCCTAAAAAAATTAATGGAAAAATATCCTTTATTTTTTGTTAATCCGGGTGAAGATTAACAAAAAATAAAAATAAATTTTAAAAATTTCAAAACATTATTATACTTAATAGTATTTCTGAAAGTTTTTATTATTCTGGGCTGATTAGAAATTTGCCAGGGGGGTTAATTTATAGATAAGTATAATCCTACATTTTTTCAAGGTGATTAGTAGGGCAGGCCTCTCTTTGTAGTCCTGGTATAAATATGTGATTTAAAACCCAGTTCATTTGCCGGGACTGGTTTGGCTCAGTGGATAGAGCGTTGGTCAAGGGCATGTACCTTGGTTGCGGGCATATCACCAGTAGGGGATGTGCAAGAGGGAGCTGATCGATGACTCTCATCGATGTTTCTAACTCTCTTATTTCTCTCCTTTCCTCTCTGTATAAAATCAATAAAAAATATATTAAAAAAAAAAAAAACCCAGTTCATTTGAATTTATATTGATTTTGGATTTAAAGTTATAAACTACATTTACTCCTGCCAATTTTTTTAAAGGACAACTGGGGAGGGTTAGAAAATGAGATATTACTTACATTTTAAAGCAGAGCAAAACTTTTTCTCTTTTAATTTTCTTAAGAGTATTGTACCATTCTGTAAGTAACGAAGGAAAAGACTTCTCCCCGTATCAACTCCAGCTAAACTCAAGCTGGGCCTCAGCACAGTGCAGTCTAATGCATGGAGGCGGGGCTAAGATCAGAACCAAGCCCAGGGCCTACACAGACTACCCGGAGTCCAACTGTACAATCATCTGGTTCTGGTGGCACACTTGAAAATTAAGTTAATAGACTTAAAATAATTTTGAAAAATCAAATTAAAATGCATTTATTAGGCTATCCTCCAAAATAATGAAAATCAGTGACATTCTGTAAAAGTTAGATCAAAAACAGATTGTAAAATAATTTACTATAGAATTTCAAAATGTTTTTTTTTTTTAATACATTTTATTGATTTTACACAGAGAGGAATTGAGAGGAACAGAGAGTTAGAAATGTCGATGAGAAACATCGACCAGCTGCCTCTCGCACACCCCCCACCGGAGATGTGCCCGCAACCAAGGTACATGCCCCTGACCGGAATCGAACCCGGGACCCTTCAGCCCGCAGGCCGACGCTCTATCCACTGAACCAAACCGGTCCCAGCAGAATTTCAAAATGTTTGCTGAAAGTTTGTATTAATATACTAAAGTACCATCCTTTACCTTTTCCAAGTCTTCGATTTCAGAGCTGAAGTTTTTACCCCCGTCCATCATCTCCTCTTCTTCCAGAGTCCTTTCATCATCGTAGTCATGGACCAGCATCTCAGCCGTAGGGTCAAAATCATGATCCTCCGAAGACAAAGACCCAACTGCAATGAAGCAAGCAATCACTTTACAAGTTCACAGGCTACTTACAAAAGAGTAACATGTGTTCTTCTGCCAGTTCCTTTTAATGCTTACATGTGAGCTTTATTGAATGCATTTACTATATACCTTACCGCTTATAAATTAAGACCACACAGCCGAAACCGGTTTGGCTTAATGGATAGAGCGTCGGCTTGGGGAATGAAGGGACCAGGGTTGATTCCGGTCAAGGGCATGTACCTGGGTTGCGGGCATATCGCCAGTAGGGGGTGTGCAAGAGGCAGCTGATCGATTACTCTCTCTCATCGATGTTTCTAACTCTCTATCTCTCTCCCTTCCTCTGTACAAAATCAATAAAATATATTTTTTTTAAAAAAATAAGACCACACAGTTCTGAAAAGGTATGTAAACCAGCAAAGGAAGCAGGCAGAGTAACTTTCACAAGAGGTCCGACCCATGCGAGTAAAATTTATAATAGCAGCAAAGTGGTTTTTAAATGGGAGTGGTCCTCAAAAATATCCTAACAGAACAGTCAAACCTGCTCATGAGGCTAGTTACATTTGTCTAAAGCAATGGAAAAATATCAGCAGGATTATGAAGATTCCACAAGAACCCATTATAAACTAAGGCTAAACACTTTGGGAGAAGAGAATATAACCTGAGCCAGTTTGGCTCAGTCAATAAGAACATCAGCCTTTGGACTAAAGAGAATATGTTACCCAAATTCTAAACCTCAAAAAAAGGTGCAAAATACAACAGAAATCTGGTTCTGGAACACACTCAGTTTCTGTGCAGCAAGCAGCTTCCAGCAATGCCTACACCGTTCCCCATTGACAATGGCATTGAAGCTCTCCACGTTCCGAGGGAGGCATTCCACTGAGAGGTGCTCCTTGGGGTTACTGAGGAAAGTCCTAAGCGACCTGAAGGGATGCAGAAAGCCACAGCGGCAGGTTTTGGAAGGTGTATCCCCCTGCAAGTTGTTTTGGTCAAGTCATACTTGTTTATATAACTGTAATGCATTTCAATGGCCAACATGAAGTTAGCAGGATTTTCTGAAAACCAGTGGAAAGAAAATAAGATCCATAATCCCGAGAACAGTATCAATGATAAGAAAAAAAAAAATGGGTTTTCTCCATTTGCTTTACTCCAGAATCTAATCTGATTAGACCAGTGACATTCAGAGCAGAGAGAAGTATCAGAATAGAGGTCAATGGAGGGAGAAGTGGAAAGACATGCATTCAACATAAAAAGTTTGATCTCCTTTCAGTCAAGCTATTTATTTTAAAATTTCAAACATTTACAGTATGAGGTCATTAATAAAATCCTGAACTGGACCTCAGATTCTTCACTATGGAAAAAAACACAGACGTAAGTCGATGTTTATGATTCTGAGTTCTGATCATTTGCTCCAAAAACCACATAATTTCTATGGGACTTAATTCTTTAGGTTTACATTATGGTGTTTCCTTTGTAATGTTGAAAACTAGTATTTGCTCATTTTAAAACCTGTTAAAGTATATACGTGAATTTAATTTTCAAAGGGAAAAAATATTTAATAGCTCAAAAGCAAAACACCCACCATTACAAATTTCCTTTTTTGAGGAATTCCTGGAAGCCTATGTTGCGCCCAGTGTCAGGGTGACACAGGATAACTTTCTACCGCTGTGAGGGCAGAGCTCGGTCCGCGCTCGTGTCCTCCCCCCTCCTCCCCATGCCTGCAGCAGCTGGGGGTGAGTGGAAGGCGTTCCCTAACAGCCAGCCGAGGGGCCTCGGTCTGCGCTTGGCTCTACCCCTGGCTTCTGGGACCTGAGCAGTCATTTAAACTTCTGGGCCTAGGTCCAGTTTTTCATTTGTAAAACACACAGGATTGGCTTAAATTACCTCAAGAGTCTCTTCTAGCTCTAAAATTATCTTTAAAATTGACTAATCGATTGAAAACAGGTTATAAATTTGTTTAAACACCAAAACCACAGTCTTTTTGCTTATTTAGACTGCAATGTCTTAAAAGCAGTGATACAAAATGGAAAAATTCCATTATCATCCAGATGTTTGGCAACATGCACGTAAATATTCTTTTCCTGAAATCAGTTCTAACAAAAAAACGTTTGTCTCAAAATTAGAGAAAGGTTGTAAAACCATTTTTAAATGTAAAGACAGGGACAGCTATTTTTAAAAGAGCCAAAAATGCCCTGTTCTCGGTGTGGCTGACAACACCCTAAATGAGAACTACGTGAGGCCTCCAAAGCGGGCCGACATGGGACCGCCAGGAGGCGGGCCACGGGCTAAGGCGGCGGGAGGCGGGGTGGGAGCTCATCCAGGCTCTGCTGGAGCGGCTGCAGCTACTCCAGTGGTCCTGAGTGTGCAGTGTACAGGGTACAGTGAGGGCTGGACTCCGCGCAGGAACTTCTCCTGGAGACCGAGGGAAGGAGCAGCCAAGAGGGGGCTGGGCAGCGGGGAGATGGAAACAAAGCCACCCTCTCCTGTTAGCCGAGGCCAGCCCTCACAGGGACCCCCGACTGGAGCAATGCTGCCTCTGTATATCCTGGGGGCCGTCCTCGCTCTCCTCGTGTCGTCAGGGGGCTTCCGAGGCCCAAAAGGCTAAGAAATGGGGTCTCGGGGTGTCACCTCAAAAAGGGTCAAACTCGGAAGTTCTGCATTCCTCTTGATTAAGGCAGCTTTATGTAACCCAAAATTCGCCTTAACACCCTCTGCAGACATTCCTCCGTTATGGAAAGTGCGTGAGACAGTCAGTGGGGAGGGTGCCGTGGTCACCTGAGGGCAGCGTCCTGGCAGATGACGGATTTCCCACAGACCACAAAGCTAACTCTGAACTTGAGGAGCTGCGGAAGGACGGCTTCGGATTAACCGTCTGCAGCAGGGGAGGACAAGAACTAAGGGCCGCTTCCAAAAGCGTTTTCAGCAACAAGAGCGAGAGGCGAAGGAGGAAGGTGATGGGGGCTCAGCAGAACCCTGCCCCGCCCCCCAGCACAACTACCTACCAACACGGACCCTGACACCACCACCAACTGGGAGGAACTCGGGCAAACTCGTGGGGAACCTTCAGCTGCAGGTCCGGGACCCAGCACCCGGGGGACTCGCCACCCGGGGGAGACCCAGCACCGCGGCCCGGGGAGGAGAGGACGGGGACGGACGCACCTGGGCTGGAACTCCCGAAGGAAGCCTGCGGAGAGAGGAGACGCGGTGAGCGGGCGGCGGGGCGGCCGCCGAAGTGCGAGGGAGACCGGCCCTCCCGGCCCCTCCGAGCCGGGTGCGCGGACCGAGCCAACAGGCGCCCGGGCGCCCGGCGAGCTGCGCCCGCGGCCGTGGGTGCGCAGCCCGGGGACCCAGAGCCCCGGCGCCCCGTCCCGGCCGCGACCCCGCCACCTGCGCAGCCCGCGCCGGGCCCGTCCGGGCCGAGCGGAGGCCGGAGCGCAGCCACCGCCGCCCGGACAGGACGGACCGTCCCCGGTGCGAGTGCGATACACCGGTCCCTCCGAGGGGCCTGGCCCCGGCCTCTCGCCGCCCGGCTCCCCGGTCCCGGCCTCCCGGCCTCCCGCCGCCCGGCTCCCCGGTCCCGGTCCGGGGGGCGCGCCCCGCCTCAGGGACAGGCCGCCGAGGGCCGGAGCGGGCGCAGGTCCGCCGACACCGCCTCGGCTCCGCACCCCGCCCTGCGCCCCTCCCCGGCCGGGACCCCGCGGCCCGGACCCGCTCCCGCCGGCAGTGCCGCAGCCCCCGCCCCGCCCGCAGCCGCCCGAGGCAGCGCCGGGCTCCGCGTCCACTGCCGCCGCGACTCGGCGGCGTCCCCCCGGCTCCCTGCCCGTCGCCCCCGCCCGCCGCCGCGGCCTAGTCCCGCCCGGAGCCCAGGCCGCCCGCCCGCCCGCCGACGACGACCCCAGGAGAGGGTAGGCCCGGACGCCCAGGCCGCCGGGGCCGCGGGGACGCCGGGCCGCGCAGCCGCCTCCCGCCGGGGCCCGCTCACCTCCGCCATGTTGCTGCCTTCAGGGCGACGAGCGGCGCCGAGCAGGCCCCGGATGGCGCCCTGGCCTATGGGCGCCCGCGCCCCGCCCGAGGCCCCGCCCCGCCGCGCCCGCGCCCCGCCCCTAGCCCCGCCCCAGGTCTCCCGCCCGCGGCTCCGCCCTCCACGCCCCTGGCCCGCGGCCCCGTGCGCCCCCCTGCCCCGAGGCCACGCCCTCCACGCCCGGAGGCCCCGCCCTCCACGCACCTGGCCCGCGGCCCCGCGCGCCCCCTGGCCCGAGGCCACGCCCCCCACGCCCGCCGCGCCCCGAGGCCCCGCCTTCCACGCCCCTGGCCCGCGGCCCGCGGCCCCGTGCGCCCCCTGCCCCGAGGCCATGCCCCCCACGCCCGCCGTGCCCTGAGGCCCCTCCCGCTCCCCGCCCCGAGGACTCGCCCCCGGCCTACCGCCACGCCCTCCACGCCGCTGGCCTGCGTCCCCGAAGCCCCCTGCCCCGAAGACCCGCCCTCTACACCCCTAGGCCCCGCCCCCGGCCTCCACGCCGGCGGCCCCGCCCCCCACGCCCCCCGCCCGCCCCGCCCGGCCGGCCCGCCGCGCCCCCAGCACCCCCGTCCCACGCCCGTGGTCCGCCGGCCCCCGCCGCAGCCGAGAAGTTCCTGCCCCGCGGGAGGCGATCGGGGCGCGGGGACGCAGGGACAGCGGACAGGCCAGGGCCCCGGGGCGGCGGGGCCCCTGGCTCGGAACTCCTCCCGAGGCCGAGATGACAGCGCCCGGACGGCGCCTGCGGACTTGCCCGGCCCGGCTCACCGCGCCGCGGCCGGGAGCGGTCCGTGCAGACCGGCTCCTGGGACACCGGCTCCGGGGGCACCGGCTCCTGGGACACTGGCTCCGGACACCGGCTCCCAGGACACCGGCTCCGAGCGCACCACTCCCGGGCACACCAGCTCAGGGGACACGGGCTCCCGGGACACCGGCTCCGGGGACACGGGCTCCCGGGACACCGGCTTCCGGGACACCGTCTCCGGGACCACCGGCTCCGGGCACATCGGCCCCGGGCACACCGGCTCCGGGGACCCCGGCTCTGGGGGCACCGGCCCCGGGCACACGGGCTCTGGGACACGGGCTCCCGGGCAGCGCCGATGACGAGCGCAAAGACTTGGAGAAGGCGGGAGCGCGGCCCGGGCTTCAGTCACCGGAGGGCACACCGGCGCTCCGCGAGGAGGCCCGGGGCGCCTCAGACGCCACCGCCTCCATCCCCGAGGCCAGACCTCACAGTCAGAACAGCCGGTCCTTCGGGGGTGGCGGGGCCCCCGGAATGGAGGGATTGCGGCGGACAGGGAACTGCTCCTAATCGGATCCACCTCGCTTCCCTGTAGGCCTGAGTCCGTGTCCATTCTGAGCAACTTTGAGCAGAGTGCCCACAAGTACTGAGTGCCCTGGCTGGTGTGGCTCAGTGGATAGAGCATCAGCCTGTGGACTGAAGGGTCCATGGACAATCAGAAGAGCAAGGCTGGCCAGGTGAGGGTTCCCAGACCCCAGAGCTCTCCCCCCAATGCCTGCTGAGATGGGATGGTAAGGGACAGAGGGGAGGGTTTTGCTGATCTCAAATGTCAGCACTCCGGGCTTTAACCTGGGTCGTGTGTGTGTGTGTGTGTGTGTGTGTGTGTGTGTGTGTCCCGCAGACGGGTCCAGAGAGGAGGGGAGAGGGTTAGTCTGTACGTGCTGCCAAGGCTTCTCTAAAGTTGTTCATTTGTGGAAACTTCAGGGAGAAATCGCTCCAGGCATTTGCAGGCGTCAGGAGGACATGGAAAAGTACACCTTCCTGCTGAGAGCTCGCTGGACCCTCCGTGCAGTCGGATAACTCCGAAACAGCTCAGCTGTGAAGCCAGAGGCCCGGCTCACAAGCTCTGTCCTCGGCGAGGCAGGCAGCGTTTTCAAAGTCACGGTGGCTTGAGCCTTGGATGCTATGGCTCAGTGGATAGAGCGCCGGCCTTCGGACTGAAGGGTCCCGGGCACAATTCCTGTCAAGGGCACATGCCCAGGGGTTTTTAGACTATGTGGTTCTCTCTCACCATGGATGTTTCTGTCTCTCCTCCCTTCCTCCCTGAAATCAATACGAATATTTTTTAAAATAAAATTAAAAAAATAAAAAGTGGCTTGAAATGAAGGGCGAGTAAGATTAACTTAGATCTGTGGTGGGAGCACGCCCGGTAGACAGAGCCGTGGAACAGGGCCTACAGCTTGACCACAGGGCCCGGGACTCAGTCCAACAGCTCAGACTTAGCACTTCCCAGCAGAGCAGAGCCAATTTGGTGCCAGTTCGCCAAATGTGAGGTGTCCGGACTCACGCACTCCCAAGAACTCGACAGCAGAGTCCCCTTTTATTAAACTGCCACGATTCTGCATAAGCAGGTGTGGTTTTGACTGATTATATTCTCTCGATTGTCCTGCACGGCCATGGGGTCCGTGTCCAGGGTATCAGAGGAAGATTCGCAGAAAGATGCGAGCAGCTCAGTTAATCCCCGGCTGAGGCTCCTTCCCACCCTGCCCGCCCAGTGTCACCTAACACAGTCCTTTCGCGATCGAGTGCATTAAGTCTATCGCCAGGCAAGCATCTCTCGTCCTCCTCACGACACGAGTTGGTACAGAGACAAACTCCCCTTATCCCGGGGAGTTGTGAAGAGAAATTACTCTTGCTGTTGGTGTTGTCATGCTGTCCCTGCACGGCGGGTGATGTTACATAGAGAGCCAGTGCTGTGCTGACACCGGGCCCTGGGCATCGGCACAAGGCCCTCATCCCTCGAGATCGTGGAACCGAGTGGATGCTCTGCGTGGCAGACGGAGCACCGGCTCGGAAAACGAGGAGCAGAGGAAACTGTGGGGCCTCCTAAGGCCGTGGTCGGCAAACCATGGCTCTTGAGCCACATGTGGTTCTTTGACCCCTTGAGTGTGGCTCTTCCACAAAACACCACGGCCTGGGTGAGTCTATTTTGAAGAAGTGGCGTTAGAAGAAGTTTAAGCTTAAAAAATGTGGCTCTCCAAAGAAATTTTTTTTTTTTACTTTTTTTAATATATATTTTATTGATTTTTTCCACAGGGAGGAAGGGAGAGGGATAGAGAGCTAGAAACGTTGATGAAAGAGAAACATCGATCAGCTGCCTCCTGCACACCCTCTACTTGGGGATGTGCTCTCAACCAACGCACATGCCCTTGACCGGAATCGAACCCAGGACCCTTCAGTCCGCAGACCAACGCTCTATCCACTGAGCCAAACCAGTTTCGGTTCCAAAGAAATTTCAGTCGTTGCCCTGTTGATATCTGGCTCTGTGGACGAATGAGTTTGCTGACCGCAGTCCTAAGGAGATCCTCAGCCGCCGTGAGAAATGAGGCGGATCCAGAAGAGAAGGTGGGATGTGAGGCCCTAACCTAGGGGTGTCGAACTCAATCAGAGAAGGGGCCAAAATCTAAAGTCCAGCCTAAATCGCGGGCCGAATGGTTTACTGAACAGTCATAAACTGTCATTGTGATGGAAACGCAGCGGAGTGCAGTGATGACAGCGCGGTGCGGGCCACATTGCAAGGCCTGGCGGGCCGGATTTGGCCCGGGGCCTTGTGTTTGACACATGTGCCCTAACCTAAGGAAGGGCCGGGGAACTGATCGGTCTGGGAGGTTAACGCCTGAGAGAGGATTCGAACCAGCGGGACACAGCATGAGAGCAAAGCCCAAACGTGGCTTGGAGCTTTCTGGAGCCAACGCAAAAAAAAAAGAAAAGAAAAAAAAAGTAAATACAGCCTGTGGTGTGGTTCTCGTTGTCTCTGGGGAGAAGACACGCATTCCTCCATGAAAGCCCGGCTGCCAGACACTTTATCCGGGACCCAGAATGCTTGTGGGAGCTCCACAGGAGCAGGAACCTGAGGGACACATCCGGTCCCAGCAGGAGTCCCAGTGGCCACCGGGAGCCCACGGCCACCGGTGCAGTGCGGACCGACAGGGCAGTGTAATGACCCCACAGCCGATGGAAAGCAGCAGGCACCCACAGCCAGTCTGTCTGTGGCCCTCGGGCAGCGCTGGAATGAGGGGAGCAAGCCAGTGTGAGGGGGGCAGTGGCACAGAGGAGGACGAGGGTAACCCCCCCTGACAGGGGCCGCCAACATCTCAGCAGACAGCGCTTCCTCAGCCTATCTCCCAGCGCCCCAGACATCCTCGTTGTCCAGAACAACTGAAAAGCCAGATTTCTAGGTGAATTCTCCTGCTTTTTAGAACTTGTCAACTAGCCAATACCGGTTTGGCTCAGTGGATAGAGCCTGCGACTGTAAAGGTCCCAGGTTCGGTTCTGGTCTAAGGGCATGTACCTTGGTTGCGGGCACATCCCCAGTAGGGGGTGTGCAGGAGGCAGCTGTTAGATGTTTCTCTCCCATCAATGTTTCTAACTCTCTATCCCTCTCTCTTCCTCTCTGTAAAAAATCAATAAAATATATTTTAAAAAAATAAAATAAAACTTGTCAACTAGCCAGGTCCGTGTGGCTCAGTGGTTGAGCGTCGGCCTACGGACCAGGAGGTCACCGGTTCCCTTTCCAGTTATGATCTGTAGAGAGCCGCCAGAGAAGGCACGTGGACATTCTTTTCATTCTTATCAGCTGAGTCCGAGGGCACTGGAAGAATCCTGTTATCAGTGCTGATTTCTTATCTTTTTCCATGTGCTTGGAATGAGGAACAAATAGGACCTTGACTTACCCAGATTTTGATATGCTAAATCTTATACCAAAAAGGGAGAAACTTATTCAGATCTTGATGAATAGAATCTGGGCACACCCGAAACGCCTCTTGACCTTAAAATCCCCTTTGGAAACCAATAAATATGCTGTGTTGTCTGTGGTGAGTGTGACTACCTCTCCATCAGAGAGGTGGTGCCCACCTAGCGCCCAGCTTGATAAATCTATTTCTGCCTCTTGTCTCTTTCTTTCTCTAATTTCTGGAACCTGTCGTTTTCCCCCACACAATGATCCCCAATAGGGAGGCGTGCAGGAAGCAGCCAATCTATGATCCTCTCTCATCGATGTTGTCTCTATCCCTCTCCTTTCCTCTCTAAAAACCTATA